TCTCAGACTCACCTTTTTTGTGGGGGGGAAAGGATCTGTCTCCCCAATCCTGTAACCACCCCCTCCAACCCAGCCCTAAATATATTTGAAGGGGGGGTCCATCTCATTAAGTGTAGGGGATCTTGTGCCTACATGGTTTGAGGGGGGGATCCACTTCTCATTTCCCCCCCCCCATATTTATGAAATAAAGGAGGGCTCCCACCTTTGATGACCCCATTTAAAAAAGGGGGGGTTCAGTGTCCCCTCCCTAACAATACGGGAGACCCCCCTTTCTTTTCCTCATTATAATTCTCTCCTCTTTTCCACCCCCTTATTATAAGAAAAGGGGTGTTTATTGATGTGGGGGTCCCTCTCCCCCCCTTTTCCCATACTAATAAGGGTCTCAGTCCTCTCTTGCCTGTTCATAAGGGGGGGCTGTCCCCTTTTCCTTCCTCCATTATAAGGGGGGGGTCTCCATAGGTGATAAGAGAGATTCCTCCCTCCGTAAATATATAGGGGTGTCCGCCCCCAAGCCCTTCTCTAAGGTGGGGAGAGTTCTCCTTCCCTCCCCCCCCATTACAATGCCCCCCACTCTACTGATAAGGGGGTGCTCCTTTCCTCTCCCCTACATTAAGGAGGGGGAAAGCAACTCTCCAGTGATGAATTGAGGGGGTACCCTCCTCCCTCCCTTAATGGGGGTTCCCCACTATACATGAAGCGGGGGTCCTCCTTTCCTATTAATGAGGAGTGTGTGTGGAGGGGGGTCCCCCTTTTCAATGAGGGGGAAGGCTACTCTCTACTGACGAAATGGGGCCCCCCTTCCCTTCCCTCTATACATGATGTGGGGGGGTCCTACTCTCCTATCAATGAAGAGTGTGTTTGGGGAGGGGATCCCCATTTCCTCTCCCCCAATTATGATGAGGAAGGGGACTCTGTGTATTAAAAAGGGGGGACCTTTTTTAAAAAGGAGGTGCTCCTCTCTAGTGACAAAGTCGGGGTCCCCCTTTCCTTCCCTACCTTAACAGGGGTCCCCCACTATACATGAGGTAGGGGTCCCGCTTCCCTCTCCCCCAAATTATAATGAGGAAGGTCTATTAAAAAGGGGGATCCTTTTTTGTAAAAAAGGAGGTGCTCCTCTCTAGTGACGAAGTGGGGGTCCCCCACTACACATGAGGTAGGGGACCTCATGAGGAGTCTCTTTGGAGGGGGGTCCCACTTCCCTCTCCCCACAGTTATGATGAGGAAGGGGACTCGTGTCTATTTAAAAAAGGGGGTCCTCTTTTTTAAAAAGGGGGTGCTCCCCTTATCAATGAACAGCTCTTTTTTAAAAAGGGGGTGCTCCCCATATTAATGAACAGCTCTTTTTAAAAAGGGGGTGCTCCCCATATTAATGAGGGGGGTGGCCTTTTCCTCCCCCGTCCATTACAATGACACGAGAGGGAGAGTGTGTGGTAGGGGGGACTCTATTTAAAAAGGGGGGTCCTCTGTTTTTTTTAAAAAAGGGGTGCTCCCCATATTAATGAACACCTCTTTTTTAAAAAGGGGGTGCTCCCCATATTAATGAACACCTTTTTTAAAAGGGGGTGCTCCCCATATTAATGAGGAGGGGGTGGCCTTTTCCTCCCCCGTCCATTATAATGACACGAGGAGAGGGAAAGTGGGGGGACTCTATTTAAAGAGGGGGGGTCCTCTTTTTAAAAAGGGGGTGCTCCCCATATTAATGAGTGGGGTGGCCTTTTCCTCCCCTGTCCATTATAATGACACGAGGAGAGGGAGAGTGCGTGGTAGGGGGGAGACTCTATTTAAAAAGGGGGGGTCCTCAGTTTTTTAAAAAAGGGGGTGCTCCCCACATTAATGTGGGGGGTGGCCTTTTCCTCCACCGTCCTTTATAATGACATGAGGAGAGGGAGAGTGTGTGGTGGGGGTGGGACTCTATTTAAATAGGGGGGGTCCTCTGTTTAAAAAGGGGGTGCTCCCCATATTAATGAGGGGGGTGGCCTTTTCCTCCCCCGTCCATTATAATGACACGAGGAGAGGGAGAGTGGGGGGACTCTATTTAAAGAGGGGGTCCTCTGTTTTTTTTAAAAAGGGGGTGCTCCCCACATTAATGAGGGGGGTGGCCTTTTCCTCCCCCGTCCATTATAATGACAGGAGGAGAGAGAGAGTGGGGGGGCTCTATTTAAAAGGGGGGTCCTCTGTTTTTTTAAAAAGGGGGTGCTCCCCATATTAATGAGGGGGGTGGCCTTTTCCTCCCCCGTCCATTATAATGACACGAGGAGAGGGAGAGTGTGTGGTGAGGGGAAAACTCTATTTAAAAAGGGGGGTCCTCTGTTTTTTTTAAAAAAGGGGTGCTCCCCATATTAATGAGGGGGGTGGCCTTTTCCTCCCCTGTCCATTATAATGACACGAGGAGAGGGAGAGTGGGGGGGGCTCTATTTAAAAAGGGGGGTCCTCTTTTTAAAAAGGGGGTGCTCCCCACATTAATGAGGGGGTGGCCTTTTCCTCCACCGTCCTTTATAATGACAGGAGGAGAGGGAGAGTGTGTGGTGGGGGGGACTCTATTTAAATAGGGGGGTCCTCTTCTTAAAAAGGGGGTGCTCCCCACATTAATGAGAGGGTGGCCTTTTCCTCCCCTGTCCATTATAATGACAGAAGGAGAGAGAGAGTGGGGGGGGCTCTATTTAAAAAGGGGGGTCCTCAGTTTTTTTAAAAAGGGGGTGCTCCCCATATTAATGAGGGGGGTGGCCTTTTCCTCCCCCGTCCACACGAGGAGAGGGAGTGTGTGTGGTGGTGGTGGGGGGTCCCCTCCAAGGCCTATATATATATATATATATGGGGGGGTCGTGCCTCCCCTCCCCCCCACAGAAGCCCCGCCCCCTCCCGTCGCCCCCCCCCCACCGCGACCACCCACCTTGCGCCCCTGGTAGGCCTCGAAGGCGCGCAGGGCCGAGTCGGTGAGCTTGACGTGGAAGACGGAGACGCGGGTGCCGCGGCCGAGCCGCCCGCACGACAGCGCGTAGCCCCCCTCCGCCAGCGCCGCCATCTTGGGAACCTCCGCCGAGGGAGGAGGCGGCGGCGGCGGCAGCGGCGGAGGCACAGGCGCCCGGCCACGCCCCCTCATGCCTAGATTATGCGGCGCCGCGCGCCACGCCTTCCACGCCCTCCGCCTGACCCTCCGACGCTCGCTCCACCCCGCCCCCCGTGGCGTCATCGCGCAGCCGCGAAGCACGCCGGGAAATGTAGTCTGGGTCCCCCCCAGCTGTTCTCCCTCCCTCTCTCTCTATCCCACGCTGGGTTAAACTAAGGGAAGGGAGGGCATGCTGTCTTCTACAACAACGACCACGGCGATAAAGAATAATAATAAATAATGATCATCACGATAATAATAATTAATAATAATAATAATAATAAATATTAATCATTGAATAATTAATAAGTGTAATTTTTAATAAGGTTATGATGGTAATAATAATAATAATAATAATAATAATAATAAAAAATTTTATTTATATCCCGCCCTCCCCAGCCGAAGCTGGGCTCAGGGCGGCTAACAACAATCAAAATAGTCCAACATTCTAAAAACATTCATTATAAAATTAATTAAATCAAATTAATGGCAACCATCAAGCAAAATTCTGTGCAGATTGCCAGAGGAGGGGGTCCATGATGTATGTTTGTTTCTTTTATGTGTTTGTTTATAATGTTGTGAAAACCAATAAAAAAATTGGGGGGGGGATGATAAATAATATTTAATACTAAATGATATTTAATATTTGATGAATTATTGTGTTTTAATATCTTGCTGGAAGCCGCCCAGAGTGGCTGGGGAAACCCAGCCAGATGGGCGGAGTATAAATAATAATAAACCAGTAGAATCCAAAACAAAAAAAAATCCTTCCAGTAGCACCTTAAAGACCAACTAACTTAGTTCTTGGTATGAGCTTTCGTGTGCATGCACACTTCTTTTTTTTGTTTTGACTATGGCAGACCAACACGGCTACCTATCTGTGTCAGTAGAATCCATTAATTCCAAAGGGCCTCCCACCCCCCCTATGGCTAACGTTGGATGCAGATTTGATTAACAAGTTAATTTAGCATAAACAGCTATATTCATTATAGGACGTACATTTAGTCGTAGAGCATCATGTTGTGTCATTTATCGTTCTTTTTATATACGGTATATATTAAGCGTGTGGAAATGAACGGACTTACGTTAGCTGTGCCCAGTGATTTTCAATGGGTCTACTCTGTTTATGTACTTGGATGCAACAACTGACCCCAAATTTATATTTCATGTGGTTATAAACTCTTATTTGCATGTTGTGCAACTCTTTTATTTATTAATTTTTTTATATTGATGAATCACACGGTTGTACTTATGCGTTTAGTGGCATTTATACGCCTTAACAAAGTTTTATACAGTATAGAAATCTAATTTCTTAGGAAGAGGTAGAGAAAGACTACATGTACGGCAGCGCGAGAGGGCCAAAAAGCCTCTTTCGTTTCGCTTTGGCACGCAGTGCGCAAGCGCCTTGCCGCAAAGCACGCTGGGAAGTGTTGTTTTCACTCTGGATAACAGCGTCGCTATTACATTTTGTTCCAAATAATTACATAATTCATGCCATCCATAGCAACCTGCTATGTGTATCTCTCGAAATAAAGAATAATAATAATATATATAAATAAATAAATAAATAAATAAATAAATAAATAAATAAATAAATAAATAAATAAATAAATAAATAAATAAGGCGCGCAAAGAATGCTGGGTAATTCTCTCTCCCCGCCTCCTGGTTGCTAGGCGCGTCACAGGCCAAACTCATAATACTGTGGCTGAGGGGGCGGGGCCATTCAAATGACGCCTACGTGTTGCGTCACGAGGGGCGGGGCCAGTGTGTTTTTCCTTCTCCCCGACGTCAGCGAGACGCCGCCCTCTATTGGTCGAAGCCGAGAAGCGCGCCTCCGCCTCAAAAAAAACTACGCTACCCAGGAAGCAAAGCGGTGGACGCGCACCGCCTCTTCCGGTCCAATCTTTCGATTTTGATTGGCGCGACGTCGCGGGCCAAAGGAGCGCTTCCGTTGCTGGAGAGCGAGAGGACGGGGCGAGGGACGAGGATAAACATGGTCAGCTTGGCAGGAGGCAGGTAAGGGCTCGGTCGGAGCAGCAGCAGAGAGAGGGGGAGGCCTGAATTGTGCTGGGAGCCTCTGAGCATGCACAGAGTGATTGAAGCTTCTGCGCATGCGCAGAATTGCCCCTGGTGGTTGAAGCCACTGAGCATGCACAGAGTGCATCTTATCTATTAAAGCCATGTGGCAGGACGTGGTGTTCCTTGTGCAGGGTCTTTTCCTACCACTTCCAGAGTGCGAATATGCACCAGAGCATACGCAGAATACCTGTGAACATAATAATAATAATAATAATAATAATAATAATAATAATAATATTTTATTTATACCCCGCCCTCCCCAGCCAAGCCCGGGCTCAGGGTGGCTAACAACCAATAATAAAAACAAGTTGATTATAATACAATTTTAAAAAGATTAAAGTACAACATTAAAACATTAGGGTGCAGCCTCTTCGCAGGAGGAGAAAGGAAAAAGAAAGAGGGGGAGGGAATCAAACTGATTCTAAGCCAAAGGCCAGGTGGAACAACTTACAGGCAAGTAGAAGAAGAAGAAGAAGAGTTTGGATTTGATATCCCGCTTTATCACTACCCGAAGGAGTCTCAAAGCGGCTAACATTCTCCTTTCCCTTCCTCCCCCACAACAAACACTCTGCGAGGTGAGTGGGGCTGAGAGACTTCAGAGAAGTGTGACTGGCCCAAGGTCACCCAGCAGCTGCAGGTGGAGGAGCGGAGACGCGAACCCAGTTCACCAGATTAAGAGTCCACCGCTCTTAACCACTACACCACACTGGTTTCCTTCCCCCTGCAGACAGTCTACTTTCTGAGCATGTACAGAGTGCATTTCTGGCCTGGAGGGGAGAGGTCTAAGGCTTTCTACTGAGACCTGAACGTCCTCATCAAAACATACTGTAGTATCTCTGGTTGCGAACGGGGTCCGTTCCGGTGCCCTGTTCGCAATATGAGCAGAACGCAACCAGCATACGCACGGGTTGCGATTCGCCGCTTCTGTGCATGCGCATGACGTCACTTTGAGCGCCTGCACATGCGCGAGTGGCAAAGCCTGGAAGTAACCCTTTCCGGTACTTCCAGGTCACAACCTGAAAAGATTTAACCTGAAGCAAATGTAACAAGAGGTATGACTGTACGCTTATAAAAATATAAAACTCAACACACACAAAAGCAGAAATGTCTGTCGTAATGAAACCTCAACCAAGCGAGCAAAAAGTTCTCTTTTCTCTCTCCCCCAGATCTCTCCTCCTCATGCAGAGGATTTCGGCTTTTGTGCTTTATCGGCGTGGGATCAGTTCTCTTTTCTCCATGCCGCTGTCTCCAGAGCCAGCAGCTGCCTGCCGGAGTTTCCCTCAGCTGGTGACGCCATGGGGCTGCCAACAGATCCGGACGAAAGCCCGCGGCAATGAGTACCAACCCTCCAACCTCAAGAGGAAACACAAGCATGGTTGGATCAAGCGCATCCGCACTCGCAGCGGCATCGAGGTGATCCTCCGACGGATGTTGAAAGGCAGGAAATCTCTGACCCATTAAAAAAACAGCCCCTGCGTCAAAAGCTTCAAACCGGTTCGTTCTGCTATAATGCGCTAAAGAACCTTGCGCACCACACACTGGAACAGAAGGTCTTCCATTTCTGCAATGTCTGTGTGGGTCCTTGCTTGGATTGCAAGCCAAGGATTTTTCTATGGGGATTTATCAACTGAATCAAAACTTTCGCAGGTGTCATTGCCGTACAGGAATCGAGATTTATTTCCCACCTTTCTGCAAAGCAAATAAATTGTTGTTGTTGTTTAGTCATTTAGTCGTGTCTGACTCTTTGTGACTCCATGGACCAGTGGGCATTTTCTTCTCCCAAATATATCCCTCAAGCCAGGAGAGGTTTGGGATCAGAGTCTTCCTTCTCCCTGATGGGCTCCCTTCCCAGGTGGACGAACCACAACTGCCCCTCAACTGCTCTAGTATCGTATCGTAAAACCTTTTATTGGCATCACATACAACACCCAAAACAAATCAATACAGAATTATCACTTCCCCAGTGGCACAAGCATTTGCTAAGAGAAAGGAGGCAGAACAGTCTATCGTCACATCTCTTGGTCTCCAGGGAGATCAGACGTCTGCAGTGTATTTCACCGACAAAAAACCAAATAGAGATATTTAGCTACTAACTTGGTGAGCTCCTGATCATTCCCCAGTAATTTGATCGTATAAATCTTTCCCTCTAGTAGCACGGGCAGAAACTGCCTGCTTGACCCTTGGACCCCCCTCTTGGTCTCATCCACTCCGCTCGCTGGAGCCTGTCTTCGCATGCAGGGCAAGCCCATAACTCACCCATGGTTTGAGACCCATCGGCTCCCCTCCCCTGGTTTAGCCAGCTGTTCCTGGTGTGCAGCCGCTGTTGCATGTTGACAGCTGCTAGGAGCCACAGGTGAGAGCTGAGTGCATGGTGGGGACCAAAGAAGAACAAAGTACCCCAGAAGAGGTACTTCCCTTCCTCTGCCCTAGCACCCCATATAGGAATATGTTGTTGTTGTTTAGTCATTTAGTCGTGTCCGCCTCTTTGTGACCCCCTGGACCAGAGCACGCCAGGCACTCCTGTCTTCCACTGCCTCCCGCGGTTTGGTCAAACTCATGCTGGTAGCTTCGAGAACACTGTCCCACCATCTCGTCCTCTGTCGTCCCCTTCTCCTTGTGCCCTCCATCTTTCCCAACATCAGGGTCTTTTCCAGGGAGTCTTCTCTTCTCAGGAGGTGGCCAAAGTCTTGGAGCCTCAGCTTCAGGATCTGTTCTTCCAGTGAGCACTCAGGGCTGATTTCCTTCAGAATGGAGAGGTTTGATCTTCTTGCAGTCCATGGGACTCTCAAGAGTCTCCTCCAGCACCATAATTCAAAAACATCCATTCTTCAGCGATCAGCCTTCTTTATGGTCCAGCTCTCACTTCCATACATCACTACTGGGGAAACTGGCAAGCCATTCCAGTATCCCTGCCAAGAAAACTCCATGGACAAAGGCAACAGGCATATAGGAACGTAAAGGTAAAGGGACCCCTGACCATTAGGTCCAGTCATGGACGACTCTGGGGTTGCGGCGCTCATCTTGCTTTATTGGCCAAGGGAGCCGGCGTACAGCTTCCAGGTCGTGTGGCCAGCAGGACTAAGCGAACCAGAGCAGCGCATGGAAATTCTGTTTACCTTCCCGCTGGAGTGGTACCTATTTATCTACTTGCACTTTGACGTGCTTTCGAACTGCTACATGGGCAGGAGCAGGGACCGAGCAACGGGAGCTCACCCCGTCGCGGGGATTCGAACCGCCGACCTTCTGATCGGCAAGTCCTAGGCTTTGTGGTTTAACCCACAGCGCCACCCGTGTCCCTATAGGAACATAGGAAGGTGATTTATGGAGAAACCCTCCAGCCCCACACCATTGGGCCTCCATGGCGGGATAAAATCCCCAGCGCCTTCCAGATTCCTGCCTAGGCAGCCACTTCTGCAGGCAGGAACCCGTCAGGTGCAGCTGCCTCCTCCAGCCCCTCCCCGCTAGCCCACTCCCGCCCTTTCCTCTTGCAGCCGCAGCCCCTTTAAAAACCCAGGCCTCTTGGAGAAACTCCATTTCCCGGCATGCCCTGCCGGAAGCCCCGCCCACCCACATCCGGCCTTCCCTCCCTCTGACTCGCCTTCCCTTTTCCGCGGCGGCGAGCGCGCGAGGGAGGGAGGGCGGAGGAGGGGCGTGGCCCTGGGAGCGGCAGCCGCGCGGGCCAATAGCGACGCCGCTTCCGCCTGGGGGCAGCCAATGGGCGCCGGCGGAGGGCGTGGCCTCGCCGTGGGAGGGGGGCCGGGGAGGCGGCGGCGGCCGGAGGGGGGGCGAGAAGTTGCTGAGGAGGCGCCTGGAGGGGGAAGATGGTAGGTGGGCGGCCGCCCGCCCCGCGCAGGCCCCTCCCCCGGGGGAAGGAGCCCCCCCAACGGGTGGGGGGGCGGGGCGGAGGGTGGGGGGGCTCATTGAGGGGGGGAGGGGAGCCTCAATAAGGTGGGGGGGTCCCATTGGGGGAGGTGGGGCAGGGGGCTCTGGAAAGAGGCCTGGGGGGTCGGTTTGGTTATTATTGGGGGGGGCTATGCATTGGCTTGCAAAGGGGGGAGGCCTGGGTCTGGTTTTTTTTTGGGGGGGGTGCTTTTAGGGGGCAGCACTGAGGATGGGGGGGGAGTCCAATGAGGTTGGGGGGGTCCTGTCCACAGGCTTGCAAGGGGGGAGGCCTGGGTCTCTGTTTTTTTGGGGGGAGGATGTGCTTTTAGGGGGCAGCACTGAGGGTCCAGTGAGGCTGGGGGGGGGAGTCCTGTGCACAGGCTTCCAAGGTGGGGCAGGGGGCTCTGGAAAGGGGCCTGGGGGTGGTGATTATTATTTGGGGGGGCTGTGCATAGGCTTGCAAGGGGGGGAGGCCTGGGTCTGTTTTTTGGGGGGCGAGGATGTGCTTTTAGGGGGCAGCACTGAGGCTGGGGGGGTCCAGTGGGGTTAGGGTGCTGTGCATTACAAACTGGGGGGGCTAAGCGGGGGGGATGTCTCATCTGTGGGGCAGGGAGGCAGACTGGGGTCTGGGGTGCTTTCAGGTCGGCGGCAGAGGGGGGAGCCTGATGAGGAAAAAGGGGGGGCCATGGGGTGGTCCTTTTTTCTGCCTCCAACCCCCCCTCCCCAGTGAATGGGGGGAGCTGTTTGGGAGCTTTATGGGGCTTCGCCCCCCCATCCCATCCCATCCCCCTTCCATCAGGGAGGTGCTTTCTCACAACTGGCGTTGGGGGGGGGAGAGAAGCACCCCTGTTGGGTTGCTGTGTGAACAAAGCCGGGGTGGGGGTTAGGGGGTGTCTTAGTAGGCTTATAGGGCAGGAGGTGCAAATTTTGGGGGACAGGAAAAGCATCCGTCAGTGAGGCTGGCATGACTAGGGAAGACCCCAGACCTGCATGTGGGGCGTACTGAAAACGTTGCTTTTCCAAAGGTTTGGGCTTTGCTGTCGGAATGGGGGGACACGGGGGTTCGGGGCGACCATTGAGCAGGTTTCCTGCTGGGGGGTTGGCTTTGCTCAGAGAGCAAGCTTTGTTGTCAGGGGGTGTCATTCCAGGTGTTTTATGCAATTCTCCCTGCTCACAACAGCCCTGAAAGGTAGGCTAGGTTGAGAGAGGCAGCCACTGGCCGCAAAGTCGCCGCAGTGAGCTTTGTGTTGCTGAGTTGGGATTTGAACTCAGGTCTCTGCCAGGCTGTAGCCTGACACCCAAACCGTTGTGCCACACTTTTTGTTGTTGGTCTGGATGGTTTCTGCGCAGCAAGAATATGCCTCTGGGAGAGGTTAGCGGATCTGCGTTGGGGTGAGTCGGCTGCCTGTTTCAAGGGGTGCTCATAGGTTGTGGTGAGGCCTGCCTAGATCATAGAAGAAATCACAGGATTGTAGAATTGGAAGGGACCCTGACGACCATCTAGTCCAACCCCTCTTGCAATGTAAGAATTTGCAGCTGTCCCTGACGGGAATTGCACCCTGGCGTTATTAGCACTGCGCTCTAACCAATTAAGCCGCCCTGAGCCCAGTCTTGGCTGGGGAGGGCGGGGTATAAATAAAATTTTATTATTATTTATTATTTATTATTATTATTTATTATCTACCCAGTGGATTGCAGATGTGGCACTTTGAGCCTAGGGCTTTATATAAGGCATCTTACTATTTTGACTATATTTGGAACCATGAAGACTAGTAACTTACTGTTTAGGGGCAACATATATATATATATAATGAGAGGGATGTGGGTGGTGCTGTGGGTTAAACCACAGAGCCTAGGACTTGCCAATCAGAAGGTCGGCAGTTCGAAGCCCCGCAGACGGGGTGAGCTCCCGTTGCTCGGTCCCTGCTCCTGCCAACCTAGGAGTTCGAAAGCACAAAAGTGCAAGTAGATAAATAGGTACCACTGCAGTCGGGAAGGTAAACAGCGTTTCCTTGCGCTGCAGAAGCGGCTTAGTCATGCTAGCCACGTGACCCGGAAGCTGTACGCTGGCTCCCTCGGCCAGTAAAGCGAGATGAGCGCCGCAACCCCAGAGTCGGTCACTTCTTGGACCTAATGATCAGGGGTCCCTTTACCTTTACCTATATATATAATGCTAATATGAATACGTTGCTAAAATTAAGGGTTTTTTTGCAGGAGGGATCAAGTTTCTAGTCCTTAAGGGCTGCGAAGGGTCAGGAAGCTTCCTGTGTTTGTGGCACACTGAATGGAGCTGATGAGAACGGGAGTCCAGAAAGAGAAAAGCAAAGAGGGAGCGTCTGCCTCAAAAGACGCTTGCTGCTTAAAAGCCTGCCTGTGGTTTCACTTTCCTTTCTGTTTTGCTTCATTCCAGGCTGATTTTCTGAAAGGCTTGCCTGTCTACAATAAAAGCAATTTCAGCCGTTTCCACGCAGATTCTGTATGTAAAGCGTCGGTGAGTACCAGCTCTTGGCTTGAGATCCAACAAAGAGTCGCACTTGAGGTCCTTTCAGAGAGTCTTTTCGAGGGTTGAGGGTCCTGGTTATTTCAGTTTTTTGGGGGGGAGGGTGAACCCAGAATTGATCTCCCACTAAGGCACACCATTTGTGCCCGATTTCATAGAATCGTAGTATTGTCAAGATCCTGTGGATCACCTAGTCCAACCCCTTGCAGTGCAGGAATCTCAACTAAATCATGCATGACAATTAATAATAATAATAATTTATTATTTATACCCCGCCCATCTGGCTGGGCTTCCCCAGCCACTCTGGGCAGCTTCCAAAAAAATATTGAAATACTGTAATACATCAAACATTAAAAGCTTCCCTAAACAGGGCTGCCTTCAGATGTCTTCTAAAAGTCTGGTAGTTGCTGTTCTCTTTGACATCTGGTGGGAGGGCGTTCCACAGGGAGGGAGCCACCACCGAGAAGGCCCTCTGCCTGGTTCCCTGTAACTTGGCTTCTCGCAGTGAGGGAACCGCCAGAAGGCCCTCGGAGCTGGACCTCAGTGTCCGGGTAGAATGATGGGGGTGGAGACCATCCAGCCTTTGTTTAGAAACCCGCAAGGAATTATAGAGTCCCCCACCTCCTGAGGGAGTGAGTTCCACTGGTGAACAGCTCTTACCCTCAGAAATTTCTTCCTGGTGTTTAGTCGGAATCTCCTTTCTTGTAACTCGAATCCATTGGTTTGGTATGGTAGTTATGTATGGAAGTGAGAGCTGGACCATAAAGAAGGCTGATTGCCGAAGAATGGATGCTTTTGAATTCTGGTGCTGGAGGAGACTCTTGAGAGTCCCATGGACTGCAAGAAGATCAAACCTCTCCATTCGGAAGGAAATCAGCCCTGAGTGCTCACTGGAAGGACAGATCCTGAAGCTGAGGCTCCAATACTTTGGCCACCTCATGAGAAGAGAAGACTCCCTGGAAAAGACCCTGATGTTGGGGAAGATGGAGGGCACAAGGAGAAGGGGGCGACAGAGGACGAGATGGTTGGATAGTGTTTTCGAGGTTACCAGCATGAGTTTGACCAAACTGCGGGAGGCAGTGGAAGACAGGAGTGCCTGGCGTGCTCTGGTCCAGGGGGTCACGAAGAGGTGGACATGACTAAATGACTAAACATCAATGCTACATCTTAGTAACAATAGCATCCTTTTCTAAGCGCTTGCAGACCGACTGTTGAATTACAGTAATACCTTTCCCGGTATTAATGTCAAGCTGACAAGTCAGTAGTTGCCTGGGTTTTTGAAGAGAGACAACATTTCTCTGCAGGAACCTCCCCCTTTCTCCAAGAATTCGCAAAGTTTATAGACAGAGGCTCTGAGATTGCACCTGCAAGATCCTCGAAATCATTTAAAGTCGCTAGGTTTTTCCTTATCACCTCTTTTCCTATTTTGGGTTGCAGCTCCCTCCTTACATCATTTATTTTGTTATCACCAGGTTAGGCACTGCTTTCCTTTTGGGTGAAGGCAAAATAATGGATTATAAATTAATGGATTATGCTATCTGTCTGTAGGAATTGGGCAGCGGAGGGGAACGAACAAAAATAGAATATCCGTATCAAAAGCAGGTTGGCTTTTTTTTTAAAGCAGCAAGACACAAATGGCTTTCAAATCTACAGCTCTGTTCTCAGAAGTTACAGGCACAGTCTGACCTCACAGTTCATCTGTGCCTTCATGTTTATGTGTGTAAAAACTGAGTGTGCATCGGCTTAATATTTTAAAAATGCAGAAACTTGGGTCCTGTCCTATTTTCCTGTTGGAATCAGCCCTTTATTCAGAACCATGAGGACTAGCATCTTACAGTCTTGGCGAGATCTTCTCTCTCCCAGAGAGAGCGCAGACCCGCAGCCTCTTGAGATCCACTTGCCTGTAAGCAGCGGCGTGTTTCCCCGTCGGAAAACCCTGGCGTTTTCCTGCCGGATTAGAAGGAGCGTCTACAGGAAGGTGTCTAGGAGAAACATATCCTAGCAAAATACCTTATTTTTTGCTCTATAAGACTCACTTTCTCCCTCCTAAAAAGTAAGGGGAAATGTGTGTGCGTCTTATGGAGCGAATGCAGGCTGCGCAGCTATCCCAGAAGCCAGAACAGCGAGAGGGATTGCTGCTTTTGCTGCGCAGGGATCCCTCTTGTTGTTCTGGCTTCTGAGATTCAGAATATTTTTTTTCTTGTTTTCCTCCTCCAAAAACCAGGTGCGTCTTGTGGTCTGTTGCGTCTTACGGAGCGAAAAATACGGTTCATCTTTCAAGCTGTCTGCAAGCTCTGTTCCCTGGAGAAACAGGCCTGTGTGGTTTTTAGTGGGAAAGCGGGGTGAAATCTTTGAAAATCGGAAGCAAAGTAAATAAGCCTGTTGTCAGAAAATCCGTTAATGAAACCGCAGTCTATCCTCCCTTTTAGGATTTATGAGATGTGGCTTTTGAGCTCTTCGTAGCATGCAACCCAGCTGCTGCCAGCTTTCGGGGGAGGCAGAATTATGTGATTACTGTATTTTTTGCTCTATAAGACTCACTTTTCTCCTCCTTTAAAGTAAGGGGAAATGTGTGTGCGCCTTATGGAACGAATGCAGGCTGCACAGCTATCCCAGAACCCAGAACAGCAAGAGGGATTGCTGCTTTCACTGCACAGCGATCCCTCTTGCTGTTCTGGCTTCTGAGATTCAAAATATTTTTTTTCTTGGTTTCCTCCTCCAAAAACTAGGTGCGTCTTGTGGTCTGGTGCGTCTTATAGAGCAAAAAATACGGTAATTTGTCAGTTTTTATACCACTTTGGATAGTACCGCTGGTTATGTTAATGTTCATATCTGGTTGCTTTGGGGGTTCTTATCATATCTGACTCCATTTTTTTATTATGACAACCAACTGTTTTTAACTCTCGCCAGATTAATTTTTAACGACTTTCCACATTTTTAACAAACCCATAACAAATTTTATACAACCGTTTCCAAAAAATTGACTTCCTGCCCCTTTCTTAGATGTGTCCAGAATTACCCCTAATTGCTGCTTATAAGCTTAAGATGAATTCAGAATGGTGTAACGCCTGTGATATTGAAAAACGTAACTTATTTGGATTGCTGACATTTTGAAACAAGTCTATCCTGGTTTTCTTTTCCTGCTTTTTTTTTTGCTATCGTGCAGCGAGGCTCCTTTGGAGAAAGGAGAATGCAAAACTAAAGCAATAATAGCACTGTGAGGATCGTATCCCATACTAGCCATGTTGTTGTTTAGTCGTTTAGTCGTGTCCGACTCTTCGTGACCCCCTGGACCAGAGCACGCCAGGCACTCCTGTCTTCCACTGCCTCCCGCAGTTTGGTCAAACTCATGCTAGTAGCTTTGAGAACACTGTCCCACCACCTCGTCCTCTGTCGTCCCCTTCTCCTTGTGTCCTCCATCTTTCCCAACATCAGGGTCTTTTCCAGGGAGTCTTCTGTTCTCATGAGGTGGCCAAAGTCTTGGAGCCTCAGCTTCAGGATCTGTCCTTCCAGTGAGCACTCAGGGCTGATTTCCTTCAGAATGGATGCGTTTGATCTTCTTGCAGTCCATGGGACTCTCAAGAGTCTCCTCCAACACCAGAATTCAAAAGCATCCATTCTTCGGCGATCAGCTTTCTTGATGGTCCAGCTCTCACTTCCATACATCACTACTGGGAAAACCATGGCTTTAACTATACGGACCTTTGTTGGCAAGGTGACGTCTCTACTTCTCAAGATGCTGTCTAGGCCTGTCATTGCCATACTCAGGAGTAAACCTGTTGGAATTAAGGAGCGTGGGTAACTCGATTTCAACAGGTTTCCCTAACCAGAGATTGGTTACAGCCCTGCCTTTGGGATCTTTGGACTTAGAATAATAACAATGATATTATTATTAGTAGTAGTAGTGTTAGTATTCTTATTACCCCACCCATCTGGCTGGGTTTCCCCAACCACTCTGGGCGGCTCCCAACAGAATATTAAAAACACGATAAAAGGTCAAACATTAAAAACTTCCCTAAACAGGGCTGCCTCCAGATGTCTTCTAAAAGTCAGATAGTTGTTTATTTCCTTGACATCTGATGGGAGGGCGTTCCACAGGGTGGGCGCCACCACCGAGAAGGCCCTCTGCCTGGCTCCCTGTAACCTCACTTATCGCAGGGAGGGAACCGCCAGAAGGCCCTTGGAGCTGGACCTCAGTGTCTGGGTGGAACGATGGGGGTGGAGACGCTCCTTCAGGTATACTGGACTGAGGCCGTTTAGGGCTTTCAAGGTCAGCACCAACACTTTGAATTGTGCTCAGAAATGTCCTGGGAGCCAATGTAGGTCTTTCAGGAACGGTGTTATGTGGTCTCGACGGCCACTCCAAGTCCCCAGTCTAGCTGCCGTATTTTGGATTAATTGTCGTTTCCGGGTCACCTTCAAAGGTAGCCCCACGTAGAGCGCATTGCAGTAGTCCAAGCAGGAGATAACCAGAGCACGCACCACTCTGGCGAGACAGTCTGCGGGCAGGAAGGGTCTCATCCGGCGTACCAGATGGAGCTGGGAGACAGCCACCCTGGACACAGAATTGACCTGCGCCTCCATGGACAGCTGTGAGTCCAAAATGACTCCCAGGCTGCGCACCTCGTCCTTCAGGGGCACAGATACCCCAGGGACCTTTTATTTTTTCATCTGTAAGCTCTTTGCAGGCCAGAGGTTTGTTTGTAGTTTTGTTTTTGCCCTTGTGGGCCAGTAACTTCAAGAAGAACCAAGTTACCGGGACAATGTGGGTAATCAGCAAGATGATGGTTGAACCGCAAAGATCTCTCTCTGATGCAAAAAAATCTCATTCTCTCCTTCTTTCTCAATTTACAGAACAGAAGGCCATCAGTATACCTCCCTACGCGGGAATATCCGTCAGAACAAAGTAAGCACTGGCTTTTTCTCTCCTCTTTTCTTGAGCTTTCCATTTGGGAAATATCTGTGGCCCTCCAGATCTTGCTAGGCACCCCCTTCCACCGTCGCCCTTGACCATTGGTCATGATGGCCATCAGGGTTGCTGGGAGACGGGGTCCAGGAATTTCGGTAGGGACACAGGCAGTGTAAAACAGAACTGGGCTATGCAATTTTTGAGAAGGCGGCGAGCGTTTGCCTTGCCGCTCGATCACCTGAGATCACCCACAGGAACACCGCCGGTCGTTCCCCAAGCTGGTGAGGTTCATTTGGCTATAATAAACTGAGCCTATGGAACTCTCTGCCACAAGGTCCTGCGGGCAGCTTCTAAGTTAGCGCCTGCTGTAAACTTTCCATTTCTGTTAGCCTTATGCAGGCAGCAAAGTATATCGTTCCGCAATAGTTACCTGATCTTAACTTTCTGCACGGCTTTTATTATGTGGTTTATTGTCGCAAGGCAGTTGTGAATAATAGCAGCGTATACAAATGTCTTTATAAATAGATTTTAAAAACTGCACATCCTTCCCCATATCTTCGTCTTTGGCGATCCCTCGTAGCCGAGTAAGATTGTCTTCTATAAACACGGTTTTAACAGTGAGTCCGTAAGTGACTGTGGAGGCCAATTCTGGATCCAGACATCCTTCCACGGTGGGGACATAGGTTTCCAGGCAGGAGTTGATTCCGGTGAGGGTTTGCCAAGCGTGCCTTCCTCTTAGCACATTTCTCCCTTGAGTTCGAGTGTCTTCAAAGCCCATGACACCTTTGGTAGAGGCTGTTCTCCAACTGGAGCGCTCGCAGCCCAGTGTTTCCCAGTTGTCGTGTTTATCCCACATTTTTAAAGATTTGCCTTGAGAGAGTCTTTAAGCCTATTTCATTGTCCACCATCAGTACGCTTACCATTTTCAAGTTCGGAATAGAGTAGTTGCTTTGGAAGACGATAATCAGGCATCCACACAACATGACCAGTCCAACAAAGTTGATGTAGAAGAATCATTGCTTCAACGCCGGTGATCTTTGCTTCTTCCAGTACGCTGGCCCTAGTTCTCCTGTCTTCCCAAGTGATGTGTAAAACTAAGAAATTTATTGTGATAATATCCTTTCTCTCCCCCCTTCCCCGGTTCTCTCTTCCAACAGTTATAGTAACAGAAAAGACGAACATACTTTTGCGTTACCTACATCAACAGTGGGACAAAAAGGTATGGAATGTGCTGTGCTAGCAATTTGCGCAATCTTGTCTAATTTCAAAAGCATCTCCTGGCAAGGGAGGGAGGCCTTCAAATTTCTTTTCAGGTCCCCTGCAAGGTGGGTGGTAGGGAAAGGCTACAGAGCCTCTTTTCGTACGCCGACACCTGCCTACCCTGGCCTTACGTTCCTGGAACACATCTGTTCTGCTTGGGGCTCTTACTAAAGCTGCCCTTCTTTCCATAAACCTTATGAGAACTTTATCCCTCTTGGTTCTGAATTGATTTCTATATGTGGGCTGTCGTTTTCTTCTCCCTTTATATTACAATTCTTTTGTACATACCTTTGTTTTAAAAGAGATTGATTCTATATATACAGTGGTACCTCGGAAGTCGAACGGAATCCGTTCCGGAAAGCCGCTCGACTTCTGAAAACGTTCGAAAACCAAGGCGCGGCTTCCGATCGGCTGCAGGAAGCTCCTGCAGCCAATCGGAAGCCGCGCCGGGCATTCGGGTTCCAAAGAACGTTCGCAAACCGGAACACTCACTTCCAGGTTTGCGGCGTTCGAGAGACAAAACGTTCGACTCACAAGGGATCCAAGGTACGACTGTATATATAAACAGTTGAATTGTTACATGGCAAAGTGCTCTGGGAAGCTCTCCATAAACAAAATCGATGATAATAATAATAATGAATTATACACGTAAGCCCCAAAACACGCACGGAACCCTTTGAAATTGTATCCAGCTGTGTTGCACCCAGTACGTTTCTGAGCACAATTCAAAGTGTTGGTGCTGACCTTTAAAGGCCCTAAACGGCCTCGGTCCTGTATACCTGAAGGAGCGTCTCCACCTCCATCGTTCTGCCCAGACACTGAGGTCCAGCATCGAGGGCCTTCTGGCGATTCCCTTGCTTAAAGAAGCTAAGATACAGGGAACCAGGCAGAGGGCCTTCTTGGTGGTGGCACCCGCCCTGTGGAACTTCCTCCCACCAGATGTCAAAGAGAAAAATAACTACCAAACTTTTAGAAGACATCTGAAGGCAGCCCTGTTTAGGGAAGCTTTTAATGTTTAATAGGTCATTGTATTTTAGTGTTTTGTTGGAAGCCGCCCAGAGTGGCTGGGGAAACCCAGCCAGATGGGCGGGGTATAAATAATAAATTATTATTATTATTATTATTAGTACCCAGAGTAGACTCCACTGAAACCAACAAACCCGAGACTCTTGTGTCCATTCATTTCGGTGGGTCTGCCTGGAGTGTAACATTCGCCGCCCGTCAAGCAAACAGACCCCTCCCGGTTCATTTCTTTGGGTCAGCCCCTAAGGACGTTGGAGGCACACTTTGCCAATATAACTTCCCAATTTAACTTGCCTCTTTGCCGTTCTTGTTTGTGGGGCAACCGCCTCGTTCCTTTACTTCGGGGGGGGGGGCGAAAACCTGTGTATACGAATCGCTCCGAACCCGATCAGCGGTCAATCTCACCCTGGGTTTCTCTTAACCTACCCTCCATCTCTCTCTCTCTCCTCTGCTTGCTCCCACCAGAACGCAGCGAAGAAAAGAGACCCCGAACAGGTGGAAATAGAAGGGGAGAATTCAGCCCCACCCCGGAAAATCGCCCGGACGGACAGCCAGGATATGAATGAGGACACTTAAAAAACTAAAACAAACTTTTTTTTTTTTTTTGTGTCTTCTGTGTTAAAATTTACAGGGGCTTCCTGTGTGGTATTTTTTTGTGGTGGGGGAGTGTCTGTTGACCATGTATGCACACCAACACACACAATTCCATGAACAGCTTGCCATTCTTCCTCCTTCTCCTCCTGGTCTACCCTTCACTATGCAGGCACTTCAGATCCGTAGCAGCCAATGTATTTATTTCTGCTTATTTGTGTGTGTGTGTGTTGGCGGAAGAGGCATGGCAGGGGGGTGTTGTGGGGCAGGAAGAGAGAGAGAGAGAGAGGTCTCTTCTTCCATTTTTTTCCTCTCCATTATTATTTATGCGCTCTCTCGCTCTCTCTGTTGGAACAAGTCGGGAAAAGAAAATGATGTTTAAACTGTGATCGATGCCCTTTCTGTTTGGGGGAAAATGGCAAAAAAAAAAGACACACACACCCCCACACTTTTGCGGCTAATCTCTCTCCCCCCCCCCAAAAAAATATCTTTGTACTAACGTGAACTGTATCCAAGCTCATGCTGAAACACCCCCTGACTTTTTTGTGGAATCGAGACCTTCCATCTGTACAATTACTGGTGTGTGTAAAAGAGGGGGTGTGGTTTTCCAATTCTTCCTTTGCACCTCCTAATCTAAGTGTGATCTGAGGCGAGGAGGCCGTATCCTGACCTCCCTCTCCCCTTCATTTCGATGTTTTCGTTTTCTGGAAAAGTTTTTTTTTTTTAAATAAAAAAAATCGTCGACGGTCCTTCTTTGATGGATGCTCTCCACCAGACGTGTCGTGTCCTCTTTAGCTGATAACTGCTGTATTATTTTTATTAAAAAGAAAAACACCCATCTTTAGCTTTCTGTTCTGGGGGGTTTCGTTAGCATGTCAGCCGTAGGTCGTGAAGAGGAAAGGAAAACATTTCTGTTTGCCACCGACCCGTTTCTCCCTCCATCCCCTGACCCACACCCCGCAAGTCAGTCTCTCTCTCTCTCTCTCTCTCTCTCTCTCTCTCTCTCAGATCACTCTATGAATGGACCAGTTCTGTGCAACTTTTGCAGTAGAATAAAGAAGGATCTTTCTCACCACATTGGCTGGGCTTATTTCGGGGTTCTGCGCCGTGAGCTGTGCCGGGTTGACTCCCAATTTAGCAGCAAACCCGTTGAACTGAACAGACCTAAGTAAAAGCTGTCCTTTTCAATGGCCACTGTATCATACAGAGTTGCGAGGGACCCCCCAAGGGCCTCGCAGTCCAACCATAAAAAGGTAAACGGACCCCTGACCATTAGCTCCAGTCGCGGCCGACTCTGGGGTTGCGGCGCTCATCTCGCTTTATTGGCCGAGGGAGCCGGCGTACAGCTTCCGGGTCATGTGGCCAGCAGGACTAAGCTGCTTCTGGCGAACCAGAGCAGCGCACGGAAACACCATTTATCTTCCCGCCAGAGTGGTACCTATTTATCTACTTGCACTTTGACGTGCTTTCGAACTGCTAGGTGGGCAGGAACAGGGACCGAGCAACGGGAGCTCACCCCGTTTGCGGGGATTTGAACCACCGACCTTCTGATCGGCAAGTCCTAGGCTCTGTGGTTTAACCCACAGCGCCACCCGCGTCCCTAGTCCAACCATAGCTGTCAACTATTTCCCTTTTCTTGCGAGGAATCCTATTTGGAAGAAGGGAATTTCCCTGTAAAAAGGGGAAACGTTGACAGCTATGAGTCCAACCCTCTTGGAGTGCACAGGAACCACAGCCATGGAATCCAACCCAACAGTTCCGCTAGACGTTTAGCTGTGCAATGGGACTTTTCCTCCGAGGCACCCCATAAATCTGCTCCAGGTTAGGGAACCCCCCCCCCCGGACTTAGATTTAGAGGTCATGCGGGAAAGAGTAGACCGTGAGGAATAGGGCTGGGCGATACCCGGTTTTCGACATCGTGATACATCGCTAGCTAAACGTCGCGATATACCAATATATCCCAATGTCTGGTACAGTGGTACCTTGGTACTCAAAACGCCTTGGTTCCCAAACGCCGAAAACCCAGAATTAAGCGTTCCAGTTTTTGAACGTTTTTCGGAAGTTGGACATTCAATGTGGCTGTTGGCTATTGTTTCTGGGGCACCTGCACCAATCAGAAGCTGCGCCTTGGTTTTTGAACATTTTGGAAGTCAAACGGACTTCTGGAATGCATTAAGTTTGGCGCTTTTGTTTTTGCTATTTGTTTTGCGTTTTGGTTTTTGAGGCTTTTTCGGTTCGTTTGTTTTTGTGACTGTGTGGAGCCCAGTTCAGCTACTGATTGATGGATTGATTGTGCGATTGCGGAAATGGATAAAAGCCCCTCATTTAAACAATGACTTTTGTCAGTGCAAGTAAGAATTTTTTTAAAAGATTTTTTTTAATCATCTACTATACTGTCTTATTTATTTTATAATACAGTACAGTGGTACCTCGGGTTAAGTACTTAATTCGTTCCGGAGGTCCGTTCTTAACCTGAAACTGTTCTTAACCTGAAGCACCACTTTAGCTAATGGGGCCTCCTGCTGCTGCCGCGCTGCCGAAGCACAATTTCTGTTCTCATCCTGAAGCAAAGTTCTTAACCTGAAGCACTATTTCTGGGTTAGCGGAGTCTGTAACCTGAAGCGTCTGTAACCTGAAGCTGAGGTATGTAACCTGAGGTACCACTGTACGTTGATTATTGCTCTCATTTTATGGATCAACAGTCTCTTTAGATAGTAAAATTCATGTTGAATTGCCATTTTAGGGGTTGTTTTTAAGAGTCTGAAACGGATTAATCCACTTTGCATTACTTTCTATGGGAAAGCGTGTCTTGGTTTCGGAACGCTTTGGTTTTGGAACGGACTTCCGGAACAGATTAAGCTTGAGAACCAAGGTACCACTGTAAAAGGATGGAGCTATGTTGCGGCGTTGACTGGCTTCACGGTTTCCCCCACAATTGTGATTTTTGCATATTTTGCCCATTTGATTCTTAAAACTGCTTTCAAATCCAAGAGTTTGGGAGAAGGGAGCCTGTGTATCTTCTAGCTACGGAGAAGTGATTGTTTGCGAGGTGCGTGCAATAATTCCTCCCCGGGGGGTCTCGCTCCCCTCTTGTTGAAATATATCTTTTTTTTTATTGCATTTCTGCTGATATTACAAAAATATGACAAAAAAATAACTTAAAAGAAATTGAAAACCCGCCCACACGCTTTTTCCCTTTTGTTTCCTTCCTTTGTCCGAGACGCCAAAAATAAATTAAAACGCAGCAAGTTAATAAATAATAATAGTACTACTCCCCCCTTTTTCTTGTCCCGCTCCGACGACAACCACAAACCCCACCCCCCCAATTCTTTCGGACAGTTCATTGCTTGGAAGAGTAAGACATTGAAACAGGTGGTCTTATAAATTGCTCGCAGGGATCTGTGTTCGGGCTTTGCCATGGGTGGGGGGGGGTGCTGGGATTTTTTTTGGGGGGGGTCTACGAACTCTGCATTCTCACCACCACCTCCCTATCACCTTCAAGGATCTCTGAGAGGCACTCTCCCAAATCCCCCCCCCCCCTTGTCGGGTTTGAAACTTTGGTAGGCTGACATGAAGGTCGATGAATTTCTGGGCCACAGTCGAAGCACCTTCTACAATAAAGGCTATGCGAAGACAGCATCTATAATCTGTTGCAAGTGCTCGCTTTTTCTACAGTGGGTTAAGCGCTTGCCCACTTTGGCTAAATTGTGTCCTGTTCTCGGGGGGGGGGGGACAACGATGGGACTCAGGTGCCTGCAGTCCACCTGGTGAATGGACCCTCTGAGCTGGACCCTCGTCCCACCGCCTTGGCAGCGGGTGTCAAGAACCCCGCAAGCCTTTTCTGGCGTCAATGCATACCATATTTTTCGCTCTATAAGACACACCAGACCACAAGACGCACCTAGTTTTTGGAGGAGGAAAACAAGAAAAGAAATATTCTGAATCCCAGAAGCCAGAACAGCGAGAGGGATCGCTGTGCAGTGAAAAGCAGCGATCCCTCTTGCTGTTCTGGCTCCTGGGATAGCTGCGCAGCCTGCCTTCGCTCCGTAAGACGCACAAACATTCCCCCTTACTTTTTAGGAGGGGGAAAGTGAGTCTTATAGAGCAAAAAATACGGCAATCTGCAAGAAATCCGTAAGGGTCGTCGGCACCAATCCCCACCTGCTATCATCGCGTTATTGCTGTCACCGAAAAGAAAGGAAAAAAGCTTGTCGCCCATTGCAAAAAATAATAATAATAACATAGCGCTTCGGCCGTGGAAGAACGATATAAGCAAATGCAGTCCATTCTTTCGTCCGCCACGGCTGATGTTTTTCAGAGAGTGGTTTGCAGTTGTAGACGTGTGGGTACCGCTCTTCCTTGCCTCGCCAGCCCAAAGGGTCAGCGACGGAAACGGCCGTTATGTCTAAGTTCCTCGCAGCACATGACTGCTTTCAATGGCTTTTTTAGCAGGGGGGTGGAATTGCACTATTGGCCAATGGTGCGTCGGATCCAGCGAAGTCATGGGAAACACAGCTAGAGATCTGGAGAGCTGGGCGATTTCTTTCCCTTATTTTTTTCCTCTTTCTGCAAAGCGGCACTCTCCGTAAGTCAGGTGGCGAATGGGGGGAAAAAGACAAAAGTTGTCGTTTCCTCGGGATCTGACCTGAGATTCCGTCTCTTGGCTTGCGGCGTGATCCATTTGGGGGGGCCACGACGGACGGAGGGGGAAGGTAGCCCTAACTCCATCCCTTCTAAGGTGGGCGAAGCACTAACCGCAGCGTTTTGCGAGCTGGGAGTCGGTGCGTGTGACGGTAAAGATGCGATTTCGAAACAGGCGGAGCAGGGAGACCTGTCTACTCTTTAAGCAGCTGCGGTTGGGCCAAAGGACTTGGGGTTTTCCCCTCCGTAGGACATAGAGTTTCGCGACTGTGGGAAAAGAAGGGGGACAGAAACGAACCCCACACAAAGCCTTGCCAGGCCCATTTCTCCAAGTGGCTAAAAGTTCTACCTGTGACTACCTCTCTAAGCTACGGTGACCGATTTCCCAGCTTGCTCCAAATTAAAAACGGCAGAATACCTGCAATTAATTGCGAATTTCCCTCCCCCCCCAAAAAAAAAAAAAATCTGGCCTAAACTCTCCCTGCTTCTATCCTATTCACACAGCAAATTAAGAAAAGGCTGTTTAAGTTCCTGTTTAAGTGGTGGGCTGTGGGCTGTTTAAGTTCCATCCTTGGCACTGCTACTGCGGTCTGAAGTCCTTATTGCAATAATTTTGTCCTTTTTTGAGAGAAAAAAGCACGCACCGGTCTCTTTCACATGTTGCAAAGGCGAGGCGATGTCTCCTCGGCCTTTGTTTTCCCTGCCACTGAAAATTATAAAAAAAAAAATCATGGATTTTCCAGAACCATCCCTTCTCGCCCCCACCCACCCCCCGCCTGCTTTTTTACGAGCACCGTCAGGAAAAGCAAAACCCAAAAATAATCCCCTTGTTTTCATTCTGTTTAGTGCAAGATATGTTGACCATGCATGGACGTTGGTTCAAAACAGTGTCTCGTCTGCTCCCAACCGCTTCCTGGTACTTCAAATTCCACCTCTGTTCTTCAAGCAGAAAAAGGGAAAGGGCGGGGCTTGTTCTGTTTTACTGGGCAGATTTTACCGGCGGGGAGAGGTGAGAGGCAAATAGGAGATTAAAAAAGGTAAAGGGACCCCTGACCATTAGGTCCAGTCGTGACCGACTCTGGGGTTGCGGCGCTCATCTCGCTTTACTGGCCGAGGGAGCCGGCGTACAGCTTCCAGGTCATGTGGCCAGCAGGACTAAGCCGCTTCTGGCGAACCAGAAACACCGTTTACCTTCCCGCCGGAGTGGTACCTCTTTATCTACTTGCACTTTGATGTGCTTTCGAACTGCTAGGTTGGCAGGAGCAGGGACCAAGCAACGGGAGCTCACCCTGTCATTGCGGGGATTTGAACCGCCAACCTTCTGATCGGCAAGTCCTAGGCTCTGTGGCTTAACCCACAGCGCCACCCGCGTCCCTCAAATAGAAGATTATTCGTCTCTAATTCAAGGGCCCGCAAGCATTTACGATGAGGACTAGCAACATGGCTGGTTTTGCACACAGCCTGTTCGGAAATCATTGGAATAAAATTTGGCTGACGCAACGTGAGGCAAAGCTGAGGCTACGATTTCGCTGCGAAGGCTGCCGCTTTCCAGATTTTCAAACGCAACCTTTGAGGGGAGGTACTTAGCGCAACCTCTCCGTTTTAAGGCAGTGATTTACTTTGCCAAATACAATATACTTTTTGCTGTTAGAGCGAGGTGGAGGAAGGAAACACAGACCCGAGAATTAACATTACCCATCATTCCTCATGTTGAGCAGAGGGATTTGAGGAGCAAATCTGAGCTGAGGTTTTCCATCCTATCCAAATCTGCTTTGGGGCGGATGTAGAGTAGCTGCAAGACTAAGAAGCAGGGGCTCAACAGCCCCTCAAAACACAAAGGGGGGTTACCTGGAAGGAGGCGACACAATCCGACAGGACTCTTGTGAGTCAAGCAGACCTTGTTCTCCTCATAGGATTCCCCCAAACTCACCGTTTGTGGGCTCTCCTCCCTAGCCTAAAATAGGGGGTTGGCTGAGACCCCACAGATTTTTGCCCAAAGAGGGGGTGGTGGAAGGGGGCCCTCTCCTCTAAAATGCAACAAAAAGCCCTTCAGAAAGACTGCAGGAACAGCTCTGATAAGGGAACTGATGGGGTTGAGGAGGAAGCTATGTGCTGCCAGTCAACAGCCGCACCCCAAAAACCTGTGGCTATCGCACCCCAAAAATCTGCAGACACCCCCTCCATTTTGTGGTTCTTCTGGTTCTGGCGTTCCTGAGTTGGACCGTGCCTCAAATGCGTCGGCCGCCAGCGGCAGCCCAAACCAGTTGCCAAACTTGACCCATCCGGAGCACCAGAGATATTTGGGGAAGGGACAACCTTTCACCTCTCCTTTTCAGGCTGCGACCTCAGCAAGCTGCCAAATCGACTCCCCCAAGTGCCACCGCCACGGCCAAATGGTGGACCTGCCCCAAATCCGCTTGAAGAACCGACCGGCGACCCAATTCCGCCTTTCTCTCCCTCCCTGTCCTTTCTCTCTCTCTCTCCCCCAGCCCTCGCCCGGAGGTAGGGGGACGGTTAGAGTTTGTGCCCCGGACCCTCCTCCTCCGCCGCCGTTCGGATCTCCGGTTCCTCCTCGGCCTCATCGTCCACCAGCCCGTTGAGGTGCGATCTCTGAGCCGCGGGTTTCTCGTCCGCCGAGGTCCCGGGCCGCGGCTGGTGCTGCGGAAGAGGGGCCGCGCCGTTCCCCCCTTCCGACTTGCTGAAGTTGAACAGTTTGCTTGGGTTGAAAGGCTTCGTGGGCGACTGGACCTTCTCGGTGGTGGCCTCCCGCTTGGTCTCCGGGGATTTGAGGAACTTGAAGCTGAGGAAGCCGGGCAGTTTGTTGTCGGTGCCGGTGGGGGACTGCGGGGAGCGCGCCCCCGACGTGCTGCCGCCGCCCCCCGCCCCCCCAGACAAGAACTTCCCCTGCAAGGGGATTATTTGCTTCAGTTTCATGACGTTGTTGGTGGCCAGCAGAGAGCTTGGCCTTTTCGGCTTCTCCGAGCCGTGGCCCGAGCCCCCTGGCCCTTTCCCTTTGGGCTGGCTCTTCTCGTGGCCGGTCTCGGGGCCCCCTCCGTCCGACTTGCCCTCCTCCCGCCCGCTCTCCCGTTCCTTGCGGGCATGATATTCGGCGTGGCGCTGGCGTTCCTCCTCCTCTCGCTTGCGGCGCTGTTGCTGCTGGAAGTGGTGCTGTGCCTGGCGTTCGTGTTTCTGAGGAAGGAAGACCACAGGGTCATGTTTCATGTCTTTAATTCACATAATATACATTCAGGGAAGCGGGTGGCGCTGTGGGTTAAACCACAGAGTCTAGGGCTTGCCGATCGGAAGGTCGGCGGTTCGAATCCCCGCAATGATGGGGTGAGCTCCCGTTGCTCGGTCCCTGCTCCTGCCAACCTAGCAGTTCGAAAGCACGTCAGAGTGCAAGTAGATAAATAGGTACCACTCTGGCGGGAAGGTAAACAGCGTTTCCCTGCCCTGCTCTGGTTCGCCAGAAGCGGCTTAGTCATGCTGGACACATGACCCAGAAGCTCCCTCGGCCAATAAAGTGAGATGAGCGCCGCAACCCCAGAGTCGGTCACGACTGGACCTAATGGTCAGGGGTCCCTTTACCTTTACCTAATACAGTGGTACCTTGGGTTACATACGCTTCAGGTTACAGACTCCGCTAACCCAGAAATAGTGCTTCAGGTTAAGAACTTTGCTTCAGGATGAGAACAGAAATCGTGCAGTGGTGGCAGCAGGAGGCCCCATTAGCTAAAGTGGTGCTTCAGGTTAAGAACAATTTCAGGTTAAGAACGGACCTCCGGAACGAATTAGGTACCACTGTAAAGATTCTTTACAACAAACAACTCCAAAATAAGCAGACAACTCCAAAATAAAATCATATGTAACAAAACCATAAGTCTCATGTTTTCATTTACACTGGTCTGATACCTTTACTTAACATTTCTTGCCACTTTCTGCTTTCCTTATAGAATCTTTGTAAACATTTAAATCTCTTAAATACTATACCGATCTTTAACCATTTCAATTAATCCCTTCAAATCCCTCCCCCGCAACCCAGCAGTTCCCTCCACCCGTTTGTGATATCAGAATGATTAGAATGGAGATCCAAATTTCTTGAATTCGCGGAGATGGCAAAATTAACAGCATCAATTAGAGGAACGCCCTCCCATCAGATGTCAAGGAAATAAACAACTACCTGACTTTTAGAAGACATCTGAAGGAAGCCCTGTTTAGGGAAGTTTTTAGTGTTTGATGTTTTATTGTGTTTTTAATATTCTGTTGGGAGCCACCCAGAGTGGCTGGGGAGACCCAGCTGAAGAGGAGGGATATGGGTAGACAGCCGCCCTGGACACAGAATTGACCTGTGCCTCCGTGGACGGTCACAGTTGCCCCATTCAGGACCAGGGAGTCCTCCACACCTGCCCACACCCAGAACAGTACTTCTGTCTTAAGTAATAATAATAATAATAATGATAATAATTTATTATTTATACCCCGCCCATCTGGCTGAGTTTCCCCAGCCGCGCTGGGCAGCTCCCATTCAAGTGTTAAAAACAGTACAGTGTTAAATATTAAAAACTTCCCTAAGCAGAGCTGCCGTCAGATGTCTTTTAAAGATAGGATAGCTGCTTATTTCCTTCACATCTGAAGGGAGGGCGTTCCACAGGGAGGGAGCCACCACCGAGAAGGCCCTCTGCCTGGTTCCCTGTAACCTCACTTCTCGCAATGAGGGAACCGCCAGAAGGCCCTTGGAGCTGAACCTCAGTGTCCGGGCTGAACAATGGGGGTGGAGACGCTCCTTCAGGTATACTGGACCGAGGCCGTTTAGGGCTTTAAAGGTCAGCACCAACACTTTGAATTGTGCTCGGAAACGTACTGGGAGCCAATGCAGATCTCTCAGAACCGGTGTTATGTGGTCCCGACGGATTCTGATCAGGATTCTGAGTTTACCCTTGTAAGGCACTCCTGCAGCACCTTCAAAGCCATCCCCGGGGTCAACAGAGCTTGTTCCTGAGTAACCGCGTGTGACTGGGCCAGACTCACCTTAAAAGCCTCTCGCCGCTGGTACTCCAGTTTTGCCATTTCCTCCGCCACCCAGCCAGGGATGTCCGGGATAGCCACTTGGATGACGTACTTGAGCAGGAGGGCAAAATGCTATGGGGAGAAAACAGTGGGGTGAGAGGGGCTGAGGCCTACAGCTCCCTGGGCATAAGACATCGCCATTGCTGCTATTGTCTTGCTTTCCAACACCTCCCCATGCGAAACCATGGTTTGCCGGAGTCTTGCAAACCATGGCTTTTTAGAACCATGGTTTGCTGCATAGCTGTCAACTTACAGATTTGAAAATAAGCGACCAGCAGCCTTGAAAATAAGGGATCAGCAGCCAAAATAAGGGATTTTCCGGGCACAGGTATGTTCAACTTCTGAGCCCCTCCGAGCCGAAGGCAGAAAGCCCAGCCAGCAGCCCAACGAAGCCTCAAGCGGTGGTTCCCACAGCGCAGCAACCCGGCAAAGGGGATGCAGCAAGGAAAACCACCATCACCTCTCCGCTGGGAAGCGCTGAGCAAAGGCGAGTCCCCAGGCAACACGGCCGATTTGATGGGCACAAGGCATGCAAGCTCCACCCCCCCAGTCGTTCTTAGACTCCTTATTGGGTGAGCAACGCAGCCAAGCAACACAGTTGGAGCCTCCCTCCTCCCTGGCCGGCAGGGAGGGAGGGAGAGGAGCTGCTTCCTTTGAAACCCAGGAAGTTTAAGGGACATCATCAGTAAGGGACAGCAGCGGGACACGGCGCTGGGATAAGGGACTTTCCCACCAAATCAGGGACGGTTGACAGCTATGGTTTGCTGCATGTCAGAACCCGATGGCCTCGCTGAATGGTCGTTTTTTCGGCAACCCCACCCATGATGTTCACTGAGCTGGGGTGCAAAGGCAAGAGCCACACAAGGAGCAAGCCGTTGGTTCCTTTGCTCGACCCGTGGTTTGCTCAGCAAACCATGGTTAGCACAAAACCACGACCTTGGTGTTCTAGCTCAAATGGAGCCCAGGCGGAAAGGCAGATCTTAGTGAGCGGACCTGGGACTTCCCAGGTATGGAACTGGGGTATTTCAGCTTGGGATCGTGGTCCGAAGGAGGAGAACCGAGTTACGTGTGTGTGTGTACGGCAGAAAAGGGCGTTACCTCCAGCACCACCACGGATATGATGGCCCCCTCTGGGCTAAGCCAGGGGAAGAGGCGTTGAAGTTGCCCACACTGACCGATCAAGTAGCAGTTCACCACGATGGCTAGGACACCCATGGCTTCCATCACCTTCTGCAGAGGGGAAAAGAAGGACATTTTCCTAAAAGAGACTAGCAATTTTTTTTACCAGAACATCTATATAGCTAAGAACTTGCTGCTGAGATTGCTTATTTCCTCCTCCCAGCCAACCCATTTTCCTTTCGTGTCGTGGCTTTGTAAGAAGTCAGGGCCTGTTTCGTTTGTGGGGATTTTTATTGTTATTATTTTAATTTATACCCCGCCCATCAGGCCGGGCCTCCCCAGCCACTCTGGGCAGCTCCCAACAGAATATTAAAAACACGATAAAACATCAAACATTAAAAACTTCCCTAAACAGGGCTGCCTTCAGATGTCTTCTAAAAGTCAGGTAGCTGTTTATTTCCTTGGCATCTGGTGGGAGGGCGTTCCACAGGGCGGGCGCCACCACCGAGAAGGCCCTCTGCCTGGTTCCCTGTAACCTCACTTCTCTCAAGGAGGGAACCGCCAGAAGGCCCTCGGAGCTGGACCTCAGTGTCCGGGCTGGACGATGGGGGTGGAGACACTCCTTCAGGTCTATGGGGCCAAGGCCCGTGAGCAGTATCGGAAGGAAGTTAAAACATGAATTCTAAGCAATTCACCTCTTTTAGAAAAATGGTTTTATAAAACAATGGCCAGTGTGGAAGAAGGGGAAAGAGAGGGGGGGGGAGAGAGAGATCATCAATAATACTGGAGGTCAGGGTCATCCGTTGTAACGGACTTGCCCGGAGATTTGGGACAGACGGAACGAACAACTTGCTTCATGGAAGAAGAATAAATTTACAGAAACTGCTGTCTCAGGACACAGCCTTGGGCTCGACAGGTGAATGCAAAGTCACAGGGAGTGAGGTGTGGCCCTAATGGATGGCTATGACAGTTAAATGGAGCCTCCAGGTATAGAGACCATGTGCTCGCTGTGGTCTAAACCACAGAGCCAAGGGCTTGCCGATCAGAAGGTCAGTGGTTCGAATCCCCGCAATGACGGGGTGAGCTCCCGTTGCTCGGTCCCTGCTCCTGCCAACCTAGCAGTTCGAAAGCACGTCAAAGTGCAAGTAGATAAATAGGTACCGCTCCGGTGGGAAGGTAAACGGCATTTCCGTGCGCTGCTCTGGTTCGCCAGAAGTGGCTTAGTCCTGCTGGCCACATGACCCGGAAGCTGTATGCCGGCTCCCTCGGCCAGTAAAGCGAGATGAGCGCTGCAACCCCAGAGTCGGCCACGACTGGACCTAATGGTCAGGGGTCCCTTTACCTTACCTGCCACTCCCCAATGCTTTCCACCCGCTGGCCAAAGGGGCGTTGGAGGCCCGTGCAGAGCTTGAAGGCATCGCTCCGTATCTCAATGATGTTGTTGATCAAGGCGCACGTGGCGGCAAGAGGGAAGGCGGACGAGAAGAGGACCACGTAGCCAAACTGGATGAACATCTCCTGGTAGTCTTGGAAAGTGTCCTGGATCGGGGGGGGGGGAGAGAAAGAGAAATAGGGGGGTGTATGAGAGAGAGAGAGAGAGAGAGAAAGGGAGGGGATTGGTGTGCAAGAGAGAATAACGGAGTCCCTTCCAGTTCTCCCGCCTCGCTGAAGGGGCGCTGCGCAGCTCTCCCTCTCTGCTGAAGCCAGGAGAGTCTTGCTCTCCCGGCTCCAGCAAAAGGAACCCAAAGACTTTGGAGCACAGCGCGAGGTCCCGCTGCGCTCCAAAGTCTTCAGGCAGCTATCCCTGAAGCCTGGAGAGCGAGAGGGTCGGTGCGCACTGACCCCTCTTGCTCTCCAGGCTTCAGCGAAAGTAACGCATAGCCTCCGGAGCACAGAGGGAGCGCTCCCTCTGCGCTTCGGAGGCTTCGCATTGCTATCGCTGAAGCCAAGGAGCCTGCATTCGCTCCAAAGGACGCACACACATTTCCCCTTTAATTTTTGGAGGGGGAAAAGTGTGTCCTATAGAGCGAAAAATACGGTACATTGATGATGACTCCTTTGTTTCAACCGGCCTCGTGCAAGGAGGACGCAGCTGGATATATTATAATACAGTCATACCTCGGGTTACAGACGCTTCAGGGTGAGTTTTTTCGGGTCATGGACCGCCGAAACCCGGAAGTACCTGAATGGGTTACTTCCAGGTTTCTGCGTTTGCGCATGCGCAGAAGCGCTAAATCGCGCTTTGCGCATAAGCACCGAATCGCAACCCGCGCATGCGCAGACTGCCCCCTGCTGAAAAAGTTTGCTGACCACTGTTTTTGCCTCTGAGGCTAGCAGGTTATTATCTCTCGTTCATTCCTGAGGTCCCCAGCCACTTCCCTGTCCTATAGCTGTCAACTTACAGATTTGAAAATAAGGGACCAGCAGCCTCGAAAATAAGGGACCAGCAGCCAAAATAAGGGATTTTAGTCAACCAGCTGAAATGCAAAGTTAAAAGGGACCAGATAATTTGGGAGAGCAGCGCCGGTTTTTAGCCCTTCGTTTCCAGAGGTTGCTGCTCAAGACACCAGCCGATGAAACACTGCAATTAAATAACTACAAGCAGCAACCACTTTTTGCGCAAAACGAAGTCCGAGCTACGAAGATGCTGCTGCAGTTCTGTATCTTTTCTCTCGTGCTCCATCTGCAGCTCTCAGTTCCATCAGGCGGGGCGGGAGGAAGGGGGCGGAAATAGCGCCCGAAGTAAACCCGCAGATCAGACCATCTATGCTAGTCTACCACTACAAATCTATGGGAGAAGCGCTTGCGGTCCTTCCTCCGCTTTCCCCCTCTATGGTTAGCCCTTGGAACACCTGCCCGTGCCTCCGCCTCCGCCTCCTCTCTCTGAACTGCTTTCTCTATGGTTGCCCTCACCCTCCTCTCAAGGCTCCTCAGTCCCGGCGGGGAGGGGCTCCCGGGGGCCGAGGATGGTGAGAAGAGGCCGGAGGGGGGTGGGCCGGGCAGCCAAGCAACACAGTTGGAGCCTCCCTCCTCCCTGGCTGGCAGGGAGGGAGGGAGAGGAGCTGCTTCCTTTGAAACCCGGGAAATTTAAGGGACATCATCAATAAGGGACAGGAGCGGGTCACGGCGCTGGCATAAGGGAGCTTCCCGCCAAATAAGGGACACTTGACAGTTATGCCCCCGTGCTTCACCCCAATGTGGCTTCCTTCCCTCCTCCTCCTCTGCGCTGCCCCAGATGCTGGCTGCCTCACCTCGTACTTCTTCATGCAACTCTCCACCTCGGCCTGGGCGAGCTGGGCGGCGAAGACCTCCTCTGGTGGGTCGATCCAGGAGCTCCTGCTGGACTTCCGCCCTTCCTCTCCCTCCTCGCCTTCCTCACCCTCTTCCAAGGGGTTCCTGACGCCCCGTGGCCTCCGGGCCCTCATGGTCACGGCCGGCTCCTTGGCTTCCGGCGCTCCCCGCAGGGGACTCCCGGAGGCCCCGTCGCTCTCGTCGTCGTCCTCGCACAGCTCGAAGACGGAGGCCGGGTCCATACCTTTCTCCACCATGGTGGGGCTGCCTTCCTCCAGGAAACTGGCCCCTTCCTCCAGACCCGGGTCGCCGGCCTTGCGGTCGGCCTTCTCGATGAAGCTCACCTTCTTCAACTTCAGCCCGCAGTCGATGATGCTCTCGTCCTCCGAGTCGGAGTCCTTCCTCTCCTCATCCTCTTCCTCAGGGACGCCGCAGCCACCGTTGAGACATTTCTTCTCCCCGCGGGGAACCCCCTCCGGACCCTCGGCGGCCTCCGGGCCGTGGCCGGCCGGGGGGTCCCCGCCGTGCCGGGGACCCCGGTGGTGGGCTCCGCGGGGCCTGGCCGGGGCACACTTCTGGGCCAGCAGGCGAAGAATAGTCTGTGCCGCCTCTCGGAAGTTCTGCGCGCTCAGGTCCCCACGCTTGAATTTGCTGTACAAGTGCGGCTGGGAGACCTCCTTCACGTTCTGCAGGAACTGGCGAGTGATGAGGAGGGTCGCCAGCATCTGGTGGGAGGGATGTGAGAAGAAAGAGGCTGGTCAGGGAAAGGAGAACCTCAAGAGCGTCCTTCCTTGGGTGGACCACCTGACCTGGATGCTTGAGCTGAGATTCCTGCAGGTGTGTGTGGATTTGACGACCCCGGCGGGTCCTTTCCAACACTACAATTCTAACTTAAGAGGAGCCCTGCAGCGGGAGCGGGGCCAGGCCCAAGGAAGCCCACCGAGCCCAGACTCCTGTCCTCATAAGCGGCCAAGCTGATCCCCCCAAAAGGGAAGTCCCTAGAAAGCTACAGCCTGTTGTTCTAAGGTAGACTGGCTCTGTCCATGGAGGCTCTATTTAGGAATAATGAGAAGAGCCCCAAGGCAGCTGAGTCGGGCCAGAGGGAGCCCAATAAGTCCAGCCTCCTGGTGAACCAGGATATGAGAGCTACAGCCTTCTCCCACTCTTGTTCTAAGGTAGACTGGCTATGTCCATGGGGGCTCTATTTAGGAACCGTAATAAGAGCCCTTAGGCAGCTGAGTCATAGCTGTCAACTTTCAGATTTGAAAATAAGGGATCAGCAGCCTCGAAAATAAGGAATCAGCAGCCTCACCTGTCCCGGGGACAGTCTACGGGATATCTAACAATATGGGATAGCAGCGGGAAACAGCACTGGAATAAGGGAATTTCCCACACAAAAAAAGGGAAGGTTGACAGCTATGAGCTGAGTCGGGCCCACCTAAGTCCAACCAGATGAACCAACCCTACCCTCCCAATGGGAACCCTAAAAGCAAGAAGGGAACGCAACAACGTCCTCCCCTTCCTCGCTTGTGATACCTTGCAACTATGTGGAGGGTGCTGTGGGTTAAACCGCCAATCAGAAGGTCGGCGGTACGAATCCCCGTGACGGGGTGAGCTCCCGTTGCTCGGTCCCTGCTCCTGCCAACCTAGCAGTTCGAAAGCACGTCAAAGTGCAAGTAGACAAATAGGTACCGCTCCGGCGGGAAGGTAAACGGCGTTTCCGTGCGCTGCTCTGGTTCGCCAGAAGCGGCTTAGTCATGCTGGCCACATGACCCGGAAGCTGTACGCCGGCTCCCTCGGCCAATAAAGCGAGATGAGCGCCGCAACCCCAGAGTCGGCCACGACTGGACCTAATGGTCAGGGGTCCCTTTACCTTTACTCCCTCCAAACCGTCCAGGTTTGGGAGCATTGCTGCCTTCTGTGGGAGCGAGCTGTAAGCTGCCTCCTAGATAGGAGAACGGGTGCCCATGTCTCCCTCGTGCGAGATGTTGTCGGGGTCTCGAACGGCACGACCCTTGACCCTTGGGCCCTAGGCACGTTCCCGTAATGGCAGAGGCCAACCAATATGAGATGAAAATCAGGTCTTTCTCCCAGGCTCCCCACTCCATCCCTCTGCTTTTTCCACCCCCCCCCAAGACCCCAGCCCCGCGCTCCTACTTTGGAGACAGCCAGCTGCCAACAGAAGCTCAGGAGACCCTTAAAGGAGATGAGGCAGAGGTGGAATTGGAGAATGACGGTGGGAAGGAGGGCGTCTCTGAGCTGACGCACGAGGCTTTGGAAGAGGGAAAAGATGAGCAGGAGCTGAGGAAGGCGGAGGGCCGACAGACGGACAGAGGGAGAGAGAGACACAGAGAGAGAGAGAAAATGCAAAATCAAAACCGAACCAAAAAACGATGCAACGAAACGGGAAGATGAAGGGTTCGAAGTGGCTGGCGACCCATGTTGGATGCGCCGGCTGGGTTCTTTAAGATGCTGATGGATGCCTGTCGGGTTCACGTTCCGGGGGGGGGGTCTGCCAGGCAAAGGTAAACTGCCCCTGCCCATGGAGGCTCCATTTAGGAACCGAAAATGAAGGAATGGGTTTCTGTGCAGTCAGTTTGAAACTGACCCAAAATCCCCATTTTCCTCCTCCAAGGGAGCACTTCTAAAATGCATTAACTTGAGCTTTTCAAGCTCAGGAAGCTTGAGCTTGAGTCAATGTATAGACAGAAAACCAAGCTGTATAAACAAGTGCTCAAAGCCCTCTCCCTTATCAGTCCATGACGGCAATGAGTGGCCTTGGCTGTTCCAGTGGAGAAGGGATGGCACGTCTGGGTCTTATCTTACACCTGACCACACTCTGACGCACAGACCTAGTCCGGGAACAGCGCCAGGAGAGTTGGTGACCTTCTTACCCCAAGATAAGAGTGCCGGAGCAGGAATACCCTTTTATGGTCAATAGTACAGGAAGAGGAACACCCTTTTATGGTTAAGAGTACCAAAGCAGGAACACCTGTGTGTCAACCTGCGTGTACAAGTTGACGTGGTTGGATTCCTGGGGAAGGAGGGAGAGGGTGCCTGGAGGATATATATACTGCATGAAATCTCTCATTTCTTTGGACTTGCTGTGGACGGACCACACTAGTGCCTTCTGCTATCCGGAGAGCAGAAGAAATGAGAAACCCATTTCTTCAAAGGAAACCAAGGCATGTTCTGCAGCCGGATCGGGCCAAAGGGGAGCCATCTAAGGCCAGGCTCTTATCCTCACAGTCACCTAGATGCTCCCCCCCCCAGAGGGAAGCCCCCTGAGCAGAGCCTGAGGACAAGGGCAGAAATTTCCCTCTTGTGGTTCCCCAAGCAACTGATGTCGGGAAACGGAGGCATTTACTGTCTCCAGCAGTGGCTGGACGATATATCTACTGTGGTGAGTAGCCCTTCGATAGTATCTCCCTCTATGCATTTCCTTGAACCTCCCCAAAGTGGATTTCTGGTGTAATTGTTGGCTCTGCGTCTGCCGGGGAGCGAGCGGAAAGCTGGAATGCTCTTATTACAGCTCGCGGCGGAGGAACAGCGATAAAAGCAGGAGTTGGCGGGTGCTAAGGGGATGGGAAGGGATGCGGGTGGCACTGGGGGTTAAACCACAGAGCCTAGGGCTTGCCGATCAGAAGGTCAGCGGTTCGAATCCCCGTGACGGGGTGAGCTCCCATTGCTCGGTCCCTGCTCCTGCCAACCTAGCAGTTCGAAAGCACATCAAAAGTGCAAGTAGATAAATAGGTACCGCTCCAGCGGGAAGGTAAACGGCGTTTCCGTGCGCTGCTCTGTTTCGCCAGAAGCGGCTTAGTCCTGCTGGCCACATGACCCGGAAGCTGTACGCCAGCTCCCTCGGCCAATAAAGCGAGATGAGCGCTGCAACCCCAGAGTCGGCCACGACTGGACCTAATGGTCAGGGGTCCCTTTACCTTTACCTTAAGGGGATGGGGAAAAAATTTGGCTCCGTTTGCACAACCCACTGGGTTCCCTCTTCTCAAAACAAGGAGGGGACCGAAATGCTGCGATTGTTTGAAATTGGCACTTTTCTGAATTTTGCAATTTGGTTCTCCAATGGGGGCGGGTGGTGTCAGGGGGGAGTGTTCATTAAAAAGGCATATATTGGTGCAATTCACACACACAAATTTGCTCTGTCAGGCAAACGGGCTTGCGGGTGCTTGGGCCAAATCGCAGAATATGGGAATGTGAGTATTAGGGTTAGCTTTCATGATGACTTTTTAAAATACCATATTTTTTGCTCTATAAGACTCACGATTTCCCTCCTAAAAGTAAGGGGAAATGTGTGTGCGTCTTATGGAGCGAATGCAGGCTGCGCAGCTATCCCAGAAGCCAGAACAGCAAGAGGGATTGCTGCTTTCGCTGCGCAGCGATCCCTCTTGCTGTTCTGGCTTCTGAGATTCAGAATCTTTTTTTCTTGTTTCCTCCTCCAAAAACTAGGTGCGTCTTGTGGTCTGGTGCGTCTTATAGAGCGAAAAATACGGTGCTTGATTCACAGACTGAAATGGGAAGGTGGAAGATGGAATTCAGGAGGAGGGAAGTGATGAAAGCCAGAGAAACTAAAATGGAGGGTTCCCACCCTCTTCCCCGGTCCTCACAGCTTCGGGCACTGTGACCTAATAATAATAATAATAATAATAATAATAATAATAATAATAATAATTTTATTCTTTATACCCCGCGAATCCCGTACCTCCTTGAGGCGGTCCATGTCTTTGAGGTAGAATCCGATGTAGAAAAGACTTAGGTATGAATTTACAAACTGAAACTAGAGAAAAAGAGAGAGAGGAGATGTTATATATATACACACACAGTGGTACCTCGCAAGACAAAAAACTCGCAAGACAAAAAACTCGCAAGACGAAAGGGTTTTTTGTTTTTTGAGCTGCTTCGCAAGACGATTTCCCCTATGGGCTTGCTTCGCAAGACGGAAACGTCTTGCAAGTTTGCTTCCTTTTTCTTAACACCGTTAATACAGTTGCGACTTGACTTCGAGGAGCAACTCATAGAACGCGGTGTGGTAGCCTTTTTTGAGGTTTTTAAAGACTTTGGTGATTTTTGAAGCTTTTCCGAAACGTTCCCGACACCGGGCTTTGCAAGACGAAAAACATCGCAAGACGACAAAACTCACAGAATGAATTAATTTCGTCTTGCGAGGCACCACTGTACTTTTACCGTGCTGTGCTCTCCAACACCTGGGCCCTGTCCCTGGTTAACCTAACATGGGAAGGCTACATTAAGTGTGGGCTGTTTAAAAGGCAGCTGAAAACAACCGTTCGTGTTTTTCCTAGATAGACACATTTCCTGTAAACTTGCTTGAGAGACACTCCTGTTGTGCTCTGACGGGCGTAACTATAGATTCTCCAAGCTTCCCTAAACAGGGCTGCCTTCAGATGTCTTCTAAAAGTCAGATAGTTCTTTATTTCCTTGACATCTGGCGGGAGGGTGTTCCACAGGGAGGGCGCCACCACTGAGAAGGCCCTCTGCCTGGTTCCCTGCAACCTCGCTTCTCGCAGGGAGGGAACCTCCAGAAGGCCCTCGGGAGATGGACCCCGGTGTCCGGGCTGGACGATGGGGGTGGAGACGCTGCTTCAGGGATACAGGGCAGAGGCTGTTTAAGGCTTTCATGGTCAGCACCAACACTTTGAATTGTGCTTGGAAACATACTGCTGCCTCTTCCTTTCTCCCCCGCTCCCTCTCTCCCCCAGCCTGCTGTCCAACAGGTGAAGTAGGACAACGCAGCCCACTTCTAGCTGCCCTCCCACCCGCGAGGAAGCCAGCTGGGTTCAAGCCGGTTAGCAAAGGCTCCTTTTGCTGTCTCGACAAACTGTCAAGCCCACTAGTTTGGGGGGCCCCAGGCTGCTGTCCAACAGGTGAAGTAGGACAACACAGCCCACTTCTATCTGCATGGGGAAGCCAGCTGGTTTCAAGCAGGCTATCGAAGGCTCCTCTTCCTGTCCCAACAAACCGTCAAACCCACTAGTTTGACGCACTAGTTTGACGCACCGAGGCCAGTACTGTCAACACTGGCTGGCACCAGCAGTTCTCCAGGTTCCCAGGGGGTCTCCGGGGACTGAACTTGGTACATTCTGCATGCAAATCAGGGGCTCCCTCCACCGTTCCCACAAACGTGTGGCAGCCCAACCGTTGCACCCGGGGAGCCCAAACTCACCAAGACCATTTTGATGATGAGGTGTTTTTCGTAGGCACTCTGCAAGCGATAATTTTCTGCAAGGAGAAGGAAATTTCATGTTTAGGATGTCTATCTCAAGGAAGGAAGGAAGGAAGGAAGGAAGGAAGGAAGGGAGGGAGGGAGGGAGGGAGGGAGGGAGGGAGGGAGGGAGGAGGAAGGAAGGAAGGAAGGAAGGAAGGAAGGAAGGAAGGGGAAAGAAAAGGGAGGAAAGGAAGGAAGGAAGGAGGAAAGAAAGAAAGAAAGAAAGAAAGAAAGAAAGAAAGAAAGAAAGAAAGAAAGAAAGAGGAAGGGAGGGAAGAAGGAAATGAGGAAGGAATTAAGGAAGGAAATAAGGAAGTAAAGGAGGAAGGAAGGAAGGAAGGAAGGAAGAGGAAAGAAGAAAGAAGAAGGAAGGAAGGAAGGAAGGAAGGAAGGGGAAAGAAAAAGGGAAGGAAGGAAGGAAGGAAGGAAGGAAGGAAGGAAGGGGGAAAGAAAGAAAGGAAGGAAGAAAGGAAGAAAGAAAGAAAGAAAGAAAGAAAGAAAGAAAGAAAGAGGAAGGAAGGAAGGAAGGAAGGAAGGAAGGGGAAAGAAAAGGGGAAGGAAGGAAGGAAGGAAGGAAGGAAGGAAGGAAGGAAGGAAGATCCCGCAAAGAATTCACCCATGTCGTTCAGCCAATAGGCGATCTTCTTGTAGACTTCGTCGCAGGCGGTGACGATGACGGCCAGCACAATTTTTGGCAGGAAACGCACGATGCGCGGCAGCTCCTTAATGCTCAGCACAAATTCCTGGCGAGGGAAGACAGAAAGCGGGGGTTCGCGCAGGGAGGGCAACGAGGAGGTTCCCCCCGCCCGAAAAAACTCGCTGCTCGGAAATGCCAATCAAAACCAATACCGTGCGCGTGCGCAGAAGCGGCGCCTCTAGATGCAAACTTTTTGGGGTACTTAAGAACCGCCGGAACGAGTTAAGTTCGTATCCGGAGGGTCCATTGTGTATGACAAATAAATAAGCTGAGAGATTTGTCCAGAGAAACCAAAACGGATTCAGTTAAGGTAAAGGGACCCGTGAGCATTAGGTCCAGTCGTGGCCGACTCTGGGGTTGCAGTGCTCATCTCACTTTACTGGCCGAGGGAGCCGGCGTACAGCTTCCGGTTCATGTGGCCAGCATGAATAAGCCACTTCTGGCGAACCAGAGCAGTGCACGGAAACGCCGTTTACCTTCCCGCCGGAGCGGTACCTATTGATCTACTTGCACTTTGACGTGCTTTCGAACTGCTAGGTTGGCAGGAGGAGGGACCGAGCAACGGGAGCTCACCCCGTCGTTGCGGGGATTCGAACCGCCGACCTTCTGATCGGCAAGTCCTAGGCTCTGTGGTTTAACCCACAGCGCCACCCGCGTCCCTTCAAACGGATTCAGTTACTTCTTGTAAAAATGAGAAGAAAGCAACAGATAAGGATGATGATGACAATGACAACCCCATAATCTGTCTCTTCCTCCTGCGGAAACTTCCTCCCCTCCGAAAACGCCCGCTCACCTGTAGCTCGAAGCAGCCCAGCATGGCGAGGAAGACGAAGGAGAGGCAGAAGAGGCAGACCGGGAGGCTGACCAAGCACTGGAAGAGCAGCCGCTTCCAGGGCGGGTAGTAGAACTCCTCCGAGTTGGTGACGGGGCTCACGCGCTTCACCCCCTGCGGGCGGGGAGAGGGGTCAGCAAGGCGGCGGCCGCAGAGACCTGCCTGCCCGGAGGAGCTAGGGAAGATTGTGGGTCCGCTTGCAGCAGGGCGAGCTCAGGCCCCTGGGGGGTGGATGCAGCCCCCGGAGCCTTTCTATCTGGCCCGGGGGGGGGTCTCTTTAGGAACCTCGGGAGAAGAGGAGTGAATGTGGCCCCCAAAACCTTTCTATCTGGCCCTTGAGGGTCTCTTTAGGAACCTTAGGAGCAGAGGGGTGAATGTGGCCCCTGAAACCTTTCTATCTGGCCCTTGAGGGCCTCTTTAGGAACCTCAGGAGCAGAGAGGTGAGTGTGGCCCCCGAAACCTTTCTATCTGGCCCTGGAGGGTCTCTTTAGGAACCTCAGGAGCAGAGGGGTAGATGTGGCCCCCGAAGCCTTTTTATCTGGCCCTTGAGGGTCTCCTTAGGAACCTCAGGAGCAGAAGGGTGAATGTGGCCCCCAAAACCTTTTTATTTGGCCCTTGAGGGTCTCTTTAGGAACCTCAGGAGCATATGGGTGAATATGGCCCCCAAAGCCTTTCTATCTGGCCCTTGAGGGTCTCCTTAGGAACCTCAGGAGCAGAGGGGTGAATGTGGCCCCCGAAGCCTTTCTACCTGGCCCTCGGCGGACTCCTTAGGCCACACCCTCTTTCTTAAGGGAGGGAGGGGATGGTCTGGGCTTCCCCACAACGTTCTTTCCCCTGCCCCAGTTCCCAGGGCTGGATCCGGCGCCACCACTGACCCGGAATTGCGGCCGCGGCTCCTCGATGGACTCCGCCGGCGTGTCCAGGGTGCCCCACTTGTAGGCGAACTCGGCCCCCCGCCGCTTCCACTCCTCCAGGAACAGGGTGGCCCAGATGACGTTGAAGATGGCGAAGATCACACAGCAGACGTCCCGGCTGGTCTGGTGGGGGAATAAAGATAAAGGTAAAGGGACCCCTGACCATTAGGTCCAGTCGTGGCCGACTCTGGGGTTGCGGCGCTCAGCTCGCTTTATTGGCCGAGGGAGCTGGCGTACAGCTTCCGGGTCATGTGGCCAGCAGGACTAAGCCGCTTCTGGTGAACCAGAGCAGCGCACGGAAACGCCGTTTACCTTCCCGCCGGAGCGGTACCTATTGATCTACTTGCACTTTGACGTGCTTTCGAACTGCTAGGTTGGCAGGAGCAGGGACCGAGCAACGGGAGCTCACCCCGTCATTGCGGGGATTCGAACCGCCGACCTTCTGATCGGCAAGCCCTAGGCTCTGTGGTTTAGACCACAGCGCCACCCGCATCCCTAATGATTAGTAGTTTGCATCAAATATTTACACCTATTATTATTTCATGTTATAGCAAGAGACTCGACTGAGTCTTTGTAAATTGTGTTTCTAAAGGAACTTTTTTTATTGCCAAACGCCAATGTGTTTGCATCATTAAGTTTGCTATGAATACAAAAATCATTTTAAATTAGAGCTTAATAATTATTCCACTATTCATATACTTCTTCTTCACTGTATTTCACTGTTCATATATACTTATTTTCCATTGTATTTCAGTCCAACAATTACTTTGATAAAATACTTATTTTGCTATGTGCAAATGGCTTTCGATACCCATTTAGGTCCATAAATTACCATATAGCAGGCCTAGGCAAACTCGGCCCTCCAGATGTTTTGGGACTACAACTCCCATCATCCCTAGCTAACAGGACCAGTGGTCAGGGATGATGGGAACTGTAGTCTCAAAACATCTGGAGGGCCGAGTTTGCCTAGGCCTGCATATACCGTACTTTGCGCCCCATGGGACGCTCCGGCCCATAGGACGCACCTAGTTTTTTGGGGGGAAATAAAGAAAAAAAAAATTATTCCCCCCCCCAGGTGCGGGGCTGGAAGAACCAGGTCGGGGAACAGCGGGAAGGCGCGCTCTGCCTCCTCGCTGTCCCCCGAGCTTGTGGGGCTGGCGATGGGGAGAAGTGCGCTGAGCCCGGGACTGCAGGCAGCTCTGCACAACCCTCGGAGCCGGTCTCCCGAGGGTTGCGCAGAGCTTCCTGAAGCCTGGAGAGCGAGAGGGGTCGGTGCGCACCGACCCCTCTCGCTCTCCAGGCTTCAGCGAAAGCCTGCATTCGCCCCATAGGACGCACACACATTTCCCCTTCATTTTTGGAGGGGGAAAAGTGCGTCCTATAGGGCGAAAAATACGGTATTCAACACAAAAACACAGCGACAATTTGTTGTTGACAAAGGACCGCTGGACATAGAAAGGGCCCCATTACCTTCAGGAGCTGAGGGCCGCATCAAACCGAAATCCGGCCCTGCCTCCCTTGTTATTTCACTCTCTCTTCCCCTCCCCTGTTCTACAGGTAACCCGTCCTCACCTGATCGTTCTCCGTGAAGGTGTAGAGAAGGGAGCCGAAGACAGCCGGGTAAACCATGGCCGACGTGTAGAAGCCCAGCCAGGCAAAATACATGGCGATTTTCACGCCAAAGTAGTCACAGATATCATCTGGGGGGTGGCAAGGGGCAAGGAAATAAGAACATGGCTGGACCAAAGTTAATTCAGCATCCTGTTCTTTTATTTAGGAGATGAATGAATTTTATTATTTTGGTCATACAATATCAAGGAAGTCATAAAACACAATAGGGATACCTTTGAATTTGCAATTAGGTATAACAGGGACAATACAGATATTGTAAAGGTAAAGGGACCCCTGACCATTAGGTCCAGTCGTGGCCGACTCTGGGGTTGCGGCGCTCATCTCCCTTTATTGGCCGAGGGAGCCGGCATACAGCTTCCGGGTATGTGGCCAGCAGGACTAAGCCGCTTCTGGCGAACCAGAGCAGTGCACGGAAATGCTGTTTACCTTCCCGCCAGAGTGGTACCTATTTATCTACTTGCACAATACAGATATAGCAACAGTTTAAAAATATATGAATTAAAACTTAGATTTAGAAGATGCAATCCTGCGTGAGGAATGGGAAAGCCTGCACCCTCCAGATATTATTATTCCTATTATTATTATTATTATTGTTATTATTGTTGTTGTTGTGATGATAATGATTTATATACTGCCCATCCTGTTCTTTTATTTCAAAGATGCCTTCTTGCCTGAGGAAATGTAACACCTCTCTTTTTGCTCAGGAATGGGGAAGGCTGTACCCTCCAGACAACAACATAATAACAATAATTTGTTATTTATACCCCGCCCATCTGGCTGGGTTTCCCCAGCCACTCTGGGCGGCTTCCAACAGAACACTAAAATACAATAACCTATTAAACATTAAGGGACGCGGGTGGCGCTGTGGGTAAAAGCCTCAGCGCCTAGGGCTTGCCGATCGAAAGGTCGGCGGTTCGAATCCCTGCGGCGGGGTGCGCTCCTGTCGTTCGGTCCCAGCGCCTGCCAACCTAGCAGTTCGAAAGCACCCCCGGGTGCAAGTAGATAAATAGGGACCGCTTACCAGCGGGAAGGTAAACGGTGTTTCCGTGTGCGGCTCTGGCTCACCAGATGCAGCTTCGTCACGCTGGCCACGTGACCCGGAAGTGTCTCCGGACAGCACTGGCTCCCGGCCTATAGAGTGAGATGAGCGCACAACCCTAGAGTCTGGCAAGACTGGCCCGTACAGGCAGGGGTACCTTTACCTTTTTATTAAACATTAAAAGCTTCCCTAAACAGGGCTGCCTTCAGATGTCTTCTAAAAGTTTGGTAGTTATTTTTCTCTTTGACATCTGGTGGGAGGGCGTTCCACAGGGCGGGTGCCACCACCGAGAAGGCCCTCTGCCTGGTTCCCTGTAGCTTTGCTTCTTTCAATGAGGGAACTGCCAGAAGGCCCTCGGAACTGGACCTCAGTGTCCAGGCAGAATGATGGAGGTGGAGACGCTCCTTCAGGTATAACTGCCCACCCTGTTCTCTTATTTCAAAGACGTATTCCTGCATGAGGAAGGGTACACACTTTTGCTCAGGAATGGAGAAGGCTGTACCCTCAAGATATTATTCTTATTATCAGTACTTTTTTTCTTAAAAAAACGTTTAGGGGTACTCGCATTTCGACTCAAGAAAATAACCATTTTATAGTTCAAATGGGGGAAAATAAATACAGGAAATGGACAAAAGTACAAAGATTCACAAAATGTTTAAGGGTAGGCGTACCGCTGCGTCCCCCCCCAAGAAAAAAGCACTGCATATTATTATTATTATTATTATTATTATTATTATTATTATTACTACTACACCGCCCTTCATCAAAAGATCTCTGGCCGGTTCACAGGATAAAAGCGCAAGATAAAAACACAAATAAGTAGTTAAAAACAACAAAACAATTCTCCCCACCCCAAACTAAACACCTTCGAAGGGCAATCAGCCAAAAGCCTGGTTGAAGAAGAACATTTTTGCCTGGCGCCTAAAGGTGTAAAAGGTAAAAGGTAAAGGACCCCTGGACGGTTAAGTTCAGTCAAAGGCGACTACGGGGTTGCGGCGCTCATCTCGCTTTCAGGCCGAGGGAGCCGGCGTTTGTCCACAGACAGCTTTCTGGGTCATGTGGCCGGCAGGACTAAACCGCTTCTTGCGCAACAAGACACCGTGACGGAACCCAGAGCGCACGGAAATGCTGTTTACTTTCCCGCCGGAGTGCTACCTATTTATCTACTTGCACTGGTGTGCTTTTAAACTGCTAGGTTGGCAGGAGCTGGGACAGAGCAACGGGAGCTCACTCCATCGCGGGGATTCGAACCGCCAACCTTCCGATTGGCAAGCCCAAGAGGCTCAGTGGTTTAGACCACAGCACCCCCCGCGTCCCGGGGGGGGGGGTAATGTCTCTCCTTAGATCAGGGGCAGGGAGGGGAACCTGCACCCCCCAGTGGCGTAGCGTGGGTTGTCAGCACCCGGGGCAAGGCAAGTAATTTGCGCCCCCTAACCCGTGGATTTGCACCCCCTAACCCGTGGATTTGCGCCCCCTAACCTGTGGATTTGCCCTAAGCCCGATGTTGCGCCCGGTGCAGCCGGCCCCCCCCTGCACCCCCCACGCTACGCCACTGGCACCCCCCAAGTGTTCTCAGAACAGGAGGGAGACAGGGAAGGACGGAATTGCATACCCAAAGGTTGCGGTTCGCAAATGGCTTGTACCCACGATTTCATCAGCCGGTTGAGGATCCGTTGCTCGTGGATGGGGAAGACCTGCTGGAGAATGCCACGGGCAGCCAACTCGGGAACTGCGGAGAAAAGAAAGGGGGGTGCAGGAGTTAAGCGGAGCAGGGTGCCACACACACCCCCTTCGACCCTGGATGCGCCAACAGCAGCTACCAAAGCTGTAGGTAAAGGTATTACGTTTACATCCTTAAGATATCAATGACTTCCCTTCTTCTCTTTCCATGGTTCATTTTACATATCATAAAAGGTAAAGGGACCCCTGACTATAAGGTCCAGTCGTGACCGACTCTGGGGTTGCGGCGCTCATCTCGCTTTATTGGCCAAGGGAGCTGGTGCACAGCTTCTGGGTCATGTGGCCAGCATGACTAAGCCGCTTCTGGCAAACCAGAGCAGCGCATGGAAACGCCGTTTACCTTCCCGCCGGAGCGGTACCTATTTATCTACTTGCACTTTGACGTGCTTTCGAACTGCTAGGTTGGCAGGAGCAGGGACCGAGCAACGGGAGCTCACCCCGTCGCGGGGATTCGAACTGCCGACCTTCTGATCGACAAGTCCTAGGCTCTGTGGTTTAACCCACAGTGCCACTAGTCCTTTGCAATTTAAAAGATTAAAAACAAACCTACTTTGCCCTGCCGGACCCCAAGAGTGGAATGAGCTTTTGGGGTGGGTGGGCAGGCCTAGCCCCCTCCTCAGAAGTGGTACCTCCCTCAGCAAGTTTCTGCCAAACGGGTGAACTAGAAGGATGTGGCAGAAGGACGACAATGGCCATGTTATGTTTCCTTCCTCCAGTTGGGCTCGTCGCCGGTTTGTGTTTACTGACTTTAAACTGAGCTTTATTTCTTGGTTGGTTATTTTATGTAATGTAAAGGTAAAGGGACCCCTGACCATTAGGTCCAGTCGTGGACGACTCTGGGGTTGCGCGCTCATCTCGCTTTACTGGCTGAGGGAGCCGGCGTACAGCTTCCGGGTCATGTGGCCAGCATGACTAAGCCGCTTCTGGCGAACCAGAGCAGCGCACGGAAACGCCGTTTACCTTCCCGCCGGAGCGGGACCTATTTATCTACTTGCACTTTGACGTGCTTTCGAACTGCTAGGTTGGCAGGAGCAGGGACCGAGCAATGGGAGCTCACCCCGTCATTGCGGGGATTCGAACTGCCGACCTTCTGATCGGCAAGTCCTAGGCTCTATAGTTTAAAACGCCGCTGAATTTCAAAAGCAAAATGGGAAACTCTACAAAATTCAGAAGACCCAGCAAAGGATTCTGTTCGGTTGTTCAGACAGCGAACAAATCTCAGTTCAGCTCTTCAGACAGACAGACGCCGCTCCACATGCCCCGCCTTCTGGCTCCAATCCCCACTCACCGATTGGCTGGCCTTCCAGGAAGTGGATGTTGTGCAGAGCCTCGCCCTGTTTGGCTCGCAGATTCTCCAGCCAATACCTGATGATGCTCTGACGTTCCTGAAAGAGGAGAGAGGGGAAAGCAGTGAATGGACCACACAGGGGACACCAGCCCCACACCCTTCGAGCCACAACTGGCTCTTGGCACCTACGGATCTTTTAAGAAACATTACAAAGCGGGCGGCGACTGTTCCATCGGACTGCCTGGTAATTTCCCTTATATCCCTCTTAAAAGAATGGACACGACACTATCTTGTGTAAAGTACCGTATTTTTCCATGTATAAGGCTAGGGGTTTTTTTTTAAAACCCAAAAATTAGGTTTAAAATTGGGGCTCTTCTTAAACACAGGTAGTGGTGAGGGGGTGTTTTCTTAATTTTGAGCCCCCCAAAAATAGGGGACGTCTTATACATGGGGGCATCTTTAACACAGAATAATAAGGTATATAAAAGAAGTTTACTCACACATTCAGTTCACAGATGGATCCCTGAAGGCACACTTAGTTACAGAGATACCGTATTTTTCCGTCTATAAGACACCCCCTATTTTGGTGGACTCCGATTTAAGAAAATGGGGGCAGATCTATCCGTGTATAAGACACCCTCAAATTTTGGACACTATTTTTTTAGGGGGGGGACCTAGTTTTATACATGTGGATGTACCCAATATGGGGGGGTTAATCCCAGTGACTACAGGCTGGCAGTCACTGCAGCTCACAGGACGAAAGGAAGATGGAAAAAGAGGGGAGGAGGGCTGTGTGCCTTGTGGTTCTGTTACCTGAACAGGTAAGGTTACGCCCACCTCTAGTCACACACAAGAGGATGTCCCAGTCCAGGAAGTTCCGCTGATCGTTTGCCGATCGGGGAGAGAGATAAGGGACTCTAGAGATAAAGGAGGCTGCCTGGGAGGGGGGAGGTAAAGACAGCAAACTTGCAAAGGGGGAAACAGGAAGACTAAAGCAATAAGGAGAGAAATTAGAAGAAAAGGAGCAAAAAACTCCTCCAGCTAAGGAAAAGACACTAAGGCAAACAAGAGGGAAAGGAGTGTTGAAAGGATACAGCTGATCAGTGGGATCGGAGGAGAGATAAGGGACCTAGCGGAGGCTGCCTGGGAGGGGGAGGTAAAAGCCCATGGATCCTCAGGATTTTTACATTGGGTCACCCCAAATTCACCATCAGATCACATAGCATGTCCATGGCTACAGCCTGCACCAAAAAAATCATCCATCTACTGTTTCCTGGGGCTTGCTATGGTGCAAAAATGTGGTTACAAAGCACGGATCCACATGGATCCTCAGGATTTTTGCATTGGGTCACCCCAAATTCACCGTCAGATCACATGTCTGGGACCACAGCATGAACCACAAAAATCATATACATCCACCGTTTCGTTCAGAATATTTTTCTTCTTGTTTTCCTCCTCTAAAAACTAGGTGCGTCTTATGGAGCGAAAAATACGGTATCACACCCCACACAGCCTAGTCCTGGGGATCAGCACCCACCTGAGAAGTGAAAAAATAAAGTTCGTTTTCGATGTTCTCGTAGATGTAATCCTCCTCGCAGGAGAAGCTCCGCATTCCGCCTCCGAACTCTGCTTTCACAGGCTTCCGCAATCCGATCTCATCGGCTCCTCGGAGCAAACTGCCGAGAAGAACGGGGGTGGAGAAAGGTGACTAAGAAGGGCAGGAAGTCTGCACGTGCTCTGAAGCCCAAGCAGCTAAAGCGGCAACTAGACAAACCTATCGCCTATTGCAGCTTTCGGTCTGCAAAGCAATCGTTCCCTCCTTTTTTGATTCCCCAGCTGCGCCGAATGCACCCTTAACTTCACGATAGCAACGTTTATTTCCTGTCAAAGTTTCTTTCCCCTGCAAAGGGGAGTTGCTGTACATTATCCCCACCAGAACTTGCCAATAGAAGATGTTGCAGCCCATTGGCGACTTAATATTCTCTAATCTAATTTCAGGGTTTCGGCCCTGGTAGCTACGGCAACGATCTTGAGTCAAAGTTTATTTGTTGTTGTTTGCGACCATCCTTCGGCCTTTCAGCCAAAAAAAGGAGATACAGTGGTACTTCGCAAGACAAATGCCTCGCAAGACAAAAAACTCGCAAGACGAAAGGGTTTTTTGTTTTTTGAGCTGCTTCGCAAGACGATTTTCCCTATGGGCTTGCTTCGCAAGACGGAAACGTCTTGCAAGTTTGTTTCCTTTTTCTTAACACCGTTAATACAGTTGTGACTTGACTTCGAGGAGCAACTCATAGCACGCAGTGTGGTAGCCTTTTTTGAGGTTTTTGAAGACTTTGGTGATTTTTGAAGCTTTTCCAAAACTTTCCCGACACCATGCTTCACAAGACGAAAAAAATCGCAAGACGACAAAACTCGCAGAACGAATTAATTTTGTCTTGCGAGGCACCCCTGTAAAATATATTCTATTCACACTTCTGAGGAATACCGTGGTACCTCGGGTTACATACGCTTCAGGTTACATACGCTTGAGGTTCATACTCCGCTTACCCAGAAATAGTGCTTCAGGTTAAGAACTTTGCTTCAGGTTGAGAACAGAAATCGTGCCCCGGAGGCCCTATCAGCTAAAGTGGCACGGCAGCAGCAGGAGGCCCCATTAGCTAAAGTGGCGCTTCAGGTTAAGAACAGATTCAGGTTAAGTACGGACCTCCGGAACGAATTAAGTACTTAACCCGAGGTACCACTGTACGCAAGGATACACCATTAAACTACAGCGATGACCAATTTATACATAATATACCTCGAGACACAGACCTGCCAAATAAGTTTCTGTATTGCACTGCCGATCAGACTTGAGCGAAATGAGCTTGCTTCGACTTTTGATCTTGATTTAAAGCAACAGACGATGGATTTGCTCAGGACAGAATAAAAAATACTATTTTTTTTTTAGAGAGAAGGGAAAGCTGCCTACACTTTTCCCTTCCATACAAAAAGCGCCATGCATCTCTGAAAACATCTTTAGGTCAGCGTGGGAAAAGTTCTAGCCCATATCCAGTAGAGACAGTGGACTTGGGGGCCGCATCCTGAATTCTCTCCTCCCCAAGAAGTGGTACCTTGGAAGTCGAACAGAAATCCGTTCCGGAAGTCCGTTCGACTCCAAACGTCCGGAAACCAAGGCGCGGCTTCCGATTGGCTGCAGGAAGCTCCAATCGGAAGCCCCCTCGGACGTTCGGGTTCCAAAGAACGTTCGCAAACCGGAACACTCGCTTCCGGTTTTGCGGCCTTCAGGAGCCGAAACGTTCAACTCGCAAGGCGTTCGGGATCCGAGGCGCGACTGGAATTCTTTAAAATTCTGACATGGTTTTAAAAGGCAGGGAAAGGAGGGTTGTCCGGCGAGGAAGAAAGACCCTCCTCGCTTCCCGCCGGCCCCACATCGCCTGAACGCCCAAAACTTGCCGCCCTCCGGAAACGGGACCTGCCTTTCGTAAGTCGCTGTGACGAAGAAGGCGTAGACCCGGGTGTGCTTGTGGTGCCGTATCTGAATGATGAGCTCCGGAATACCCAGCCGTATGTGGTTCAGCAGCCATAGAAGCGTGTGGTCGTCGGTCGTGTCTGGAGAGGCATTTGGAAAATGAGGGTGAGAAGAAGAAGAAGAAGAAGAAGAAGAAGAAGAAGAAGAAGATGAAGAAGAGAGAAGACAGAAGACAGAAGTTATCAATATGCAGATAATGCCCAGCTCTACCTCTCTTTCAAATCAGAACCAGTGAAGGCGGTGAAGGTCCTGTGTGAGTGCCTGGAGGCGGTTGGAGGATGGATGGCGGCTAACAGATTGAGGTTGAATCCTGACAAGACAGAAGTACTGTTTTGGGGGGACAGGGGGCGGGCTGGTGTGGGGGACTCCCTGGTCCTGAATGGGGCAACTGTGCCCCTGAAGGACCAGGTGCGCAGCCTGGGAGTCATTTTGGACTCACAGCTGTCCATGGAGGTGCAGGTCAATTCTGTGTCTAGGGCAGCTCCATCTGGTACGCAGGATGAGACCCTCCCTGCCCGCAGACTGTCTGGCCAGAGTGGTGCATGCTCTAGTTATCTCCCGCTTGGACTACTGCAGTGCGCTCTACGTGGGGCTACCTTTGAAGGTGACCCAGAAACTACAACCAATCCAGAATGTGGCAGCTAGACTGGTGACTGGAAGCAGCCACCAAGACCACATAACACCGGTCCTGAAAGACCTCCATTGGCTCCCAGTACGTTTCCGAGCACAATTCAAAGTGCTGGTGCTGACCTTGAAAGCCCTAAACGGCCTCGGCCCAGTAGACCTGAAGGAGCGTCTCCATCCCCATCGTCCAGCCCGGACACTGAGGTCCAGCGCCGATGGCCTTCTGGTGGTTCCTTTGCTGCGAGAAGCCAAGTTACAGGGAACCAGGCAGAGGGCCTTCTCGGTGGTGGCACCCGCCCTGTGGAACGCCCTCCCACCAGATGTCAAAGAACTACCTGACATTCAGAAGACATCTTAAGGCAGCCCTGTTCAGGGAAGTTTTTAATGTGTAACATTTTTGTGTATTTTTGGTCTCTGGCTGGGCCAGATGGGGTATAAGTAATAAATGATGATGATTATTATTATTATTATTATTATTATTATTATTATTATTTACAACGGAGCCACTGGTTTAAGAACCCAAGCCTGGGAAATCTGTAACCAGACTTGATCATCCGATAACGCGGACGTTTTTTTCTTGCATAACAAGCTCCCACTGCACGCATTATACGTGCCCGCTTCGTATTTTAGTTTTCCTCTTTTTGCACTTTCACGTGTTGTTACGCCCTCTCCGCTTCATGTATGTTACGAAACGAAACGAATTAAAAATAAATAAATCGGGCGAGTGACGCAATTGCTAGGTTCCCTCGGGGGACCTTCCTGATCAAAATGGGGCGGGGGGGGGCACATCGGAAGGCTGAAGAAGAGAAAATCATCTCTCTCTCTCTCTCTCTCTCTCTCCTTTTCCTCCATACTACATTACGGTCTGGCCGCTCGCCCAGCCTGGTGTCTGATTACAAGAGATCCAGCCTGAAACCAACATGCAGTGATCTTCGTTTCCCTGCCCGGAATTGGGGGGGGGAGCAAGGGAGCCCCCACCCGCCAGGGCCTTGGCAAAGTCGGCTTTTTTCAGCCCGCAGAACTGATCTGGAAATTTCTGCACCTGCCCGTTTTCCTGTGAGGCTTTGCAGGTAGACGGTGCCTGGATGTGGAGCCTCCGTCCCTAGCTGTCCGTCCCTGCTATTCTCTGGGTTCACTGGGGGGGGGGGAGGACCGTAGGATAAAGACCCCTGGACGGCTAAGTCCAGTCAAAGTTGACTATGGAGTTGCGGCGCTCATCTCGCTTTCAGGCCGAGGGAGCCGGCGTTTGTCCGCAGACAGCTTTCCAGGTCATGTGGCCAGCAGGACTAAACCACTTCTGGCACAACAGGACACCGTGACGGAAACCAGAGCGCATGGAAACGCCGTTTACCTTCCCGCCAGAGTGGAACCTCTTTATCTACTTGCGCTGGTGTGCTTTCGAACTGCTAGGGACCACATAACACCGATCCTAAGAGATCTGCATTGGCTCCCAGTATGTTTCCGAGCACAATTCAAAGTGTTGGTGCTGACCTTGAAAGCCCTAAACGGCCCAGTATACCTGAAGAAGCGTCTCCACTCCCATCATCCAGCCCGGACACTGAGATCCAGCACCGAGGGCCTTCTGGCGGTTCCCTCACTGCGAGAAGTGAGGTTACAGGGAACCAGACAGAGGGCCTTCTCGGTAGTGGCACCCGTCCTGTGGAACGCCCTCCCTTCAGATGTGAAGGAAATAAGCAGCTATCTTCTCTTTAAAAGATATCTGAAGGCAGCCCTGTTTAGGGAAGTTTTTAATATTTAATGCTGTATTGTTTTTAACACTTGATTGGAAGTGGCTGGGGAAACTCAGCCAGATGGGCGGGGTATAAATAATAAATTATTATTAAATTATTTCTAGGTTGGCAGGAGCTGGGACAGAGCAACGGGAGCTCACTCCGTCGCGGGGATTCGACCCGCCGACCTTCCGATCGGCAAGCCCAAAAGGCTCAGTGGTTTAGACCACAGCGCCACACGATCCTCTGCCTGCAACCCTGGATGGCCGCTGCTGCCAACCCGTGTAGGTAAAACTGAACTAGTTGGAGTAGAGTTCTGACTTGGCTGCAGGCAGCCTCCTAAGTCCCTCTGTTTCGAACCAAAGAACTGAAACTGCCGAATTTGGAAAAAACATACCTGGCAGGGTCATCAGGACATCACAGTTTTCCGTAGGCACCGTTTTCATCCACGATTTGTGAGACATGATGTAACGGCCGGCTTGCAGGAGCCTCTTCCCGAAGAGCTTATCTGTGGGGTGAAGAAGAGCAAGGATGAGCCAGTTGAAACATCCCACCTTTCAAGAGTGGTGTGCAATATGACGACAGGTGGGAACAAGGATTGCAGCATTGCATCTTCATCTCCGCCGGGTTGCCAGCTTATCAGAAAGCAAAGCTAGGCGTGCTCTTCCTGCTCCTTTAAAAGCTAGTCTGGCTCACAATGACAAAGTTGCCCCAACCCCATACAAATATATATGAATTTCATGTATAGAAAGGTAAGAGGGAGACAGGAAAAGAAAGAAAAAAGGTGAGTGAGAATGAATCAAAAAAGAAAGAAAAAAGGAACAGAGACACGAACCCAGTTCACCAGATTACGAGTCTACCGCACTTAACCACTACACCACACTGGCTCTCACCAACACTCTGAATGGTGCTCGGAAACGTCCTGGGAGCTAATGTAGGTCTTTCAAGACTGGTGTTATGTGGTCTCAGCAGCCGCTCCCAGTCCCCAGTCTAGCTGCCGCATTCTGGATTAGTTGTAGTTTCCGGGTCACCTTCCAAGGTAGCCCCACGGAGAGTGCATTGCAGTAGTCCAAGCGGGAGATAACCAGAGCATGCGCCACTCTGGTGAGACAGTCTGCAGACAGGTAGGGTCTCATCCTGCATACCATATGGAGCTGGTGGACAGCTGCCCTGGACACAGAATTGACCTGTGCCCCCATGGGCAGCTGTGAGTCCAAAATGCGCACCTGGGCTTTTCTGGTGTCCAATTATGAAATAAACGGCAAATTCTGAATGAATGATACTAAAGCTATTAATAGTCCATCAGGCTAGCCTTGATAAATAAGCTTCTGTTTACATTTCTGAGGACCTTTTTTAAGATTAATTAAAAAATAGTGCATTTGGATGACAGTTGAGGGTTGGGCCCCGTTCCTCGTTCAGCCAGGCCCCCTCGTGTTTTGACCCAGCTGGACACCTGACCGTTGACCGTGTTCTGAGAGAGGTCAGTTGCCAGCTTAAAATATCCACTGGGAGATCTGGGTTTCTCGCTCCTCTGGCAAAGGAGCTACGGACATTTCTCTTGCAGGTGCGAGAGAGAGGCTGTGGCGCAGGAGGAAGGCCTGGCGTGAGAGGTTCAGGGCGGCCAAAAAAAACCATGGCACCGAATAATCTTTCGCATGGAAGACGGAGAGAGCTTGTTTTCTGCCGAATTCAGGTTACAGGAAAGGCGATTCCAACTGAACTTTCTGAAAGCAAGAGCTGTTCAACAGTGGAACGGTCTCCCTCGGGAGGTGGTGGACTCCCCTTCCTCGGAGGTTTTTAAGCAGAGGTTGGAGGGCCACCTGTCCTGAATGCTTTAGCTGAGATTCCTGCATTGCAGAGGGGGGTGGACTGGATGACCCCTGGAGGTCCCTTCCAACTCTACATTTCTGCGATTTTATTTATTATTATTTTTTAAAAAAAATTATTAAAGTTTTCAAAATATTACAAAAAGAAAAAAGAAAAAGAAAAAAATACAAAGTAAAAACAGTTAAAAACAATTCAATCTTTCCGTATCTTATCTTTCATTTGCTTGTTCCCCAGACCTCCTCACACCTCCCTTTTTTGTATTCCAGTTCAATTAGTTAATTCAGCAAATCCTTTCCCTCTTTGTTTTTATCCTAATCTTTAATCTTAATACATTATAACTTTAGATTATCACCTGTTAACAATCCACTTTTACACATTCCTTTATGACATTACTGCTAAACACCACTTAACTTCAATCCAACATCATTCTAACATTCATTAACTTTGCAGTATTTCTGTAGATAGTCTTTAAATTTCTTCCAATCTTCTTCCACCAACTCTTCTCCCTGGCCTCGGATTCTGCCGGTCATTTCTGCCAGTTCCATATAGTCCATCACCTTCATCTGCCATTCTTCCAGGGTGGGTAAATCTTGTGTCTTCCACATTTCTGCGATTTTATGGTTAAAGCTCATAAACTCCACAAACATACACACAGAGAGAGTCCCTTCAGATTGGAGGATTTTGGGGGTCAGAGGCGCCGAGTTCCACCCAACATTTTGGGGGGAGATCATTCTGTGTGCATGATGTCACACGTGTGACATCACGTGCGTCGGGAAATGGCCGTGAGGCTCGAAGAGGCCTGGAGGGGCCTGCCACTGCCGTGGGGAGGCCCAGATTAATAATAATAACAACAATAATAATTGTTTATTATTTATAGCCCGCCCATCTGGCTGGGTTTCCCCAGCCACTCTGGGCAGCTCCCAACAGAAGCTTAAAAACACATTATATATCAAACATTAAAAACTTGCCTAAGCAGGGCTGCCTTCAGATGACTTCTAAGAGTCAGGTAGTTGTTTATCGCTTTGACATCTGATGGGAGGGCGTTCCACAGGACGGGTGCCACTACCGAGAAGGCCCTCTGCCTGGTTCCCTGTAACCTCACTTCTCGCAGGGAGGGAACCGCCAGAAGGCCCTCGGAGCTGGACCTCAGTGTCCGGGCTGGAAGATGGAAGGTGGGAGGGCATTCCACAGGACAGGCGCCACCACCGAGAAGGCCCTCTGAGCCCCATCCTTGCATACTGAGGGGGGGCGGTGGCTGAGCTGTCCTCAGCCCCATGGAGTTGGCGCCTATGTCAGGGGTCTGCTGCGACATGTCACTGATGTAACAACTGTGCATTCACTGGTGGGTTTACCCTTCGCTTTCGATGCATTGTTCAACTTCATCTGCCTTTCTGCACTGCTTCCCAAGTGTTATTGTGTTAATGCCACCCGGGAGGGGGCGCTTCCGAAGAAGAAGAAGAAGAAGAAGAAGAGGAGGAGGAGGAGGAGGAGTTTGGATTTGATATCCCGCTTTATCACTACCCTTTAAGGAGTCTCAAAGCGGCAAACATTCTCCTTTCCCTTCCTCCCCCACAACAAACACTCTGTGAGGTGAGTGGGGCTGAGAGACTTCAGAGAAGTGTGACTGGCCCAAGGTCACCCAGCAGCTGCATGTGGAGGAGCGGGGAAGCGAACCCAGTTCACCAGATTACGAGTCCACCGCTCTTAACCACTACACCACACTGGCACACCTACACGCTGAACTTCTCCAGGGACTTGTGCAGAAAGATGCCTGCATCCCTTTTTTAATATACAGGATGCTGGGGATTGAACCTCGTACCTCCTGCATAATAATAATAATAATAATAATAATAATAATAATAATAGCCTCCACCACATCCCGTGTGGTCCCTGCTATGGGGGGAACAATGGCTGCCGGCTTCTGACCTGAGGGAGAACAACAGTTGAATTAGGGAGGGAAGGTAGACTTTAGAAGCAATCACCAATGCTCAGAAGATGGGAAGAACTCTGGAGCTGGATGATGAAGAAGAAGAGTTTGGATTTGATATCCCGCTTTATCACTACCCGAAGGAGTCTCAAAGTAGCTAACAATCTCCTTTCCCTTCCTCCCCCACAACAAACACTCTGTGAGGTGAGTGGGGCTGAGAGACTTCAAAGAAGTGTGACTGGCCCAAGGTCACCCAGCAGCTGCATGTGGAGGAGCGGAGACGCGAACCCGGTCCCCCAGATTACGAGACTACCGCTCTTAACCACTACACCACACTGACTCTTGCAGAACGAAAGCGGGAGAAAATAAACAAATAACCGGAACTTTGACGATATGAAAAGTCCCAGCCCTTTCAGCAAGGAAGTTTGGGGACATGCACAGGTAGGGAACGCCTGCCCAGAAACTTTTGAAGTCTTGAAAACAAGATGCTTAACCACCCTGGTGCTGTTCTGAGCACAAATAATCACAAATGGACAACAAAGCACCTCTGGAGTCCCCCCACAATAGTTCTCTTCTCTGCAGGGTTGCCAAACCTCCCCTCAAGGGCAGTGTTCCTGCGCTTTCAATGGCCACCTTGGCAGCAAAAATCCAACAGGTATGGCTTTCTGTCCTGCAGCCCACCTCGCGCCCAGCTCATTTGCAGTCCTGACCTTCCACCCAGGTGCACAGCACAGGGACAAAGGTGGCAAGGTTCAGAAAGAGGTAACCCCGAAAAGCCGTCAGAATGAAAACCGGAGACACAATGATAGGAACAGAAACATGCTCTGCAGCCGGAAAGAAAGGTTTGCAGCGCGAGCCAACTGCAGCTAATGTTTTACGACAGGCCTAAAACTCAGCGCCTGCAAGCTCCCCAGTTTGTCTCATCTCTGAAGGACGTTGCTGTGCGAACAACTCGCCCCTCGGCAACTCGATCAAAGAAGTCTCTTACCTGGTTGCTGAAAGATGCCAGCAGCAGTTTGTTCCCCACGCCAGTGCCTTCCGCTGGGAAAACAGTGGAAAGGGGGAGAGAAAGGAGGAGATGGAGCAGGGATGCTAAACGCTACCCGTCTCTATGGCAACCGCCTCCGGTGATGGAGTTCCCACCAGAACGGATGCACGGGGCCAGGCGGTCTCCTTTGTTCTGTTTCCCACCCGTTCCGCTTCTCCCAAGCAACGGAAAGTCCAAAATTAAGGGGCAAGGCCAAGGTTTGGTCCAGGGCTCGAAAGCAAAGCCAGCAGGCCGTGCAAAGACCTTGGCTATTTTGTACGTCCGTCTGTGCAGAAATACACACAGGTGCAAAGGGCATTCAGTTTTGCCACATGTTCGTATGATTCATAAGAGCCTGGCTGCTGGATCCGGCCCAAAGGAGGCCTATCTAGAGGGACGCGGGTGGTGTTGTGGGTTAAACCACAGAGCCTAGGACTTGCCGATCAGAAGGTCGGCGGTTCGAATCCCCGCAACGGGGTGAGCTCCCGTTGCTCGGTCCCTGCTCCTGCCAACCTAGCAGTTCGAAAGCACATCAAAGTGAAAGTAGATAAATAGGTACCACTCTGGCGGGAAGGTAAATGGCATTTCCGTGCGCTGCTCTGGTTCGCCAGAAGCGGCTTACTCCTGCTGGCCACATGACCCAGAAGCTGGACGCCGGCTCCCTTGGCCAGTAAAGCGAGATGAGTGCCGCAACCCCAGAGTCGGCCACGACTGGACCTAATGGTCA